GTCATTAATAGTAAATATAAGTCATTTGAACTCCGAATCCGCCACATAAGTTATAAATATAATCATATAGTCAATAATAGCCATATGAAGCCAATCAGTCTTCACACAAGCAAATAACTCGAAATAGGGACTGATAATCATGGACAATCACTAGAAGTCATTTGGACCCTAAATCTGCCATATAATTATAAATATGAATGTTTAGCCAATATTATCCATTGGAAGCCAATTACACAACAAATAAGTCGAAAAAGTGACCGATAGTGATTGATAGTCACTGAAGTAATTTGGACCCCAAATCTGCCATATAATTTATAAACATGATCACATAGCCAATAATAGCCATATGAAGCCAGCTCAGTCTGCACACCATCAAATAACTCAAAATAGTGGCCAAAAGTCATTAAAAGTAAATAGAAGTCACTTGAACTACATATCTATCATGTCAAATTTTGATCAAAAAGCCAAAATTAGCCGTTGAAAGCCAACTCAGGCCGCGTGCAATCAAATAACTCAAAATAGTTACAAATAGTCATTGATTGTCATTAAAAGTCATTTGGAACCGAAATCCGCCATATAATTAGGAAATAACATCAAATATCAAATAATAGCCATTCAAATCCAATCTGAGACATAACATTACAAATATCCCGAAATTGTCACGAATGGTCATTAAAGTCTATTACAAATGGAACTACCTAATAAACAGCTGCTTGGTCTATATGCCCCGAAATAGCTTAGGATATTGGCCCAGAGCCATTAATAGCCCTTGGAAGGCAATCTAGTTTACGCTCGTTCTAATAACTCAGAAATATAATCCAATAGTAATTGCAGTCATTATAGGCTAACCAGGCCCCCAAAACGACAGGTAAAACTGAACCGAACACTATGACTCTTCGTTATCAACCAGTGTAGCATTTACTGGCTGGAATTACTACGTCGTGTAGCATTTCCAGACTCATTGGAAGTGAATCTCATGCAATTTAAAATAATGACCCATGGAGCAATTACATATTTGAATTGCTGTGCTTTATTTCTAACTGCAGAGTCAGTGGTCCATGAACTGTCAATTTACTAGAAAGTCACTAATTGCCAGTAGGTCATTTGTACCCGGTGTAATACATAGGTCTATATAATCTAAATACTTAGTGCTAATATGAAGCGCACCTCACTATCAGAAATACCGTGTATCAGCTCTTGCTCAATTGAAATCGGCACACCGATTTGCCATATGTTCACAATTCCTGATAGTGTGAAGAGAAGAAATAGTGTAGTGAATGACTGTTTTCCTTTTAATTTCGAGCGCATAGTTTACCATCCCACACCGAGAGATGGCAGCACTTCTGTGTCTCCCGACAACCCCATGTATTTTGGCTCGAGTTTCCAGTATTGGTAGTCAATGGTATTTGCTTTCCCTTTGGTCTTCCGTGAGAGCGAATGTGTTGAAGACGTCGACAGCTTCAGGTCCCGCGACGTGCAGCAAGATAGCTATCTCCTGCCTGTCTGTTCGAACCTCTGGATCAGACCCGGTCGCTTCAAGGAAGAGCTACACTCGTTCAAGGAAACGTTTCCAGTTGTCTGCGACGTTCCCTGAGAACGATAAACCTTCCGGTGGTCTCAGCATCTCTATATTGGACTTCAAGGTTCGCCCGGTCAGATATCAGTAGGGTTTCAACACCATGTATTGATTGTGGGTCCACACAGCTCGGTACCAGAAGGGAACTGACTGTCGTGCTTTATGTCATGAGCCCGCGCCAGGCTCCGAGCTGCTGCTCGAGCGCCCGCGCAACACCGATACATCTCTTCTGCCGTGTTTGTAAACGCAGCACGCCGCGCGTCGGTGTATGGGTAGGAGTTACGGTGACGTCAGAAGGACGCCGAGCTGTGATTGGCTCCCATCGAAGGACAGTGGGTAGACCTCAAGGAAACTGCCTTGAGGTCTACCCACTATCCTTCATTCAGGATGAATCAGAGCTCAGCGTTCTGACGTCAGCACAACCACCGCTGGAGCACGACGGCAGTGTCGAGCCAGGGCACCGTCGGTATCGGTACTCGTCCTATTATTCTCCGCAGCTGGTGCCCAACGTGACCAGGAGAACGTGTACATATATGTTTACTGGTTGCCATAATAGGTCAAGGTAAAAGTGTAGCCATTAGCTCATTCTCTGGTACTGATGTTCAGCGGGAACAACGTGCAATAGTTTTGGAGCAGTTTCCTTGTATGTTTACCGAGATTTCTGGGAAGACTGCTGTTCTTAAACATGTCATCGATACTGGAGACGCTCGGCCTATACGATTGAACACACGTCCCTTGAGTGTTCATAAGCGAGCGCTCCTCGACCATGCGTTAGAAAAAATGATCAAGACCGATACGGTGCGCCCCTCAAACAACCCATGGGCCTTCCCTATCGTCATAGCACCTAAGAAAGATGGGACAGCACGTCCGTGTGTAGATTACCGTCCTCTCACCGCTATAACAAGAAAAGATGCGTACCTATTCCCGTCAGTTTCGTCTCTAATGTATGCATCGGGATCGGAACGCACCTTCACCACTCTCGATTGTAGCAGAATATTTTTGCAGATCGCTGATGCCAAAAAAGATGCCCCTAGGACGGCTTTAATTTGTCAAAGAGGCTGATTTGAATTCGATCGACTTCAATCCGGCCTCTAATTCTCCTGCACTGAGTTTTTAAAGGCTCATGGACACCGTCTTGGGGGACACAAAGTTTCATTGCGCAATGGCGTACACGGACGACGTGGTGGTGTTCTCAGAGACCTTCGACGAACACCTCCTCCATCTGCAGATTGTTCTACAGCGCATGAGTGACTCAGGCCTGACAATCAACCCGCGCAAAGTGTAGATCGTCTAGTAAGACAGAGCTTCTCTGGTTCGTAGTTGAGCAATGATTCGGTTAGCAATCATAGAGTTTCCTACACCGCAAAAGAAAAAAATAATAAAGAAGTTTGGAACAATATCTTGCCATGGTGAGGTTCTACCGATGATTTATCTCAAACTGTGCTGACCTAGCCCCACCTCTTCATTAGCTGCTGCGTCAGGATGTTCCGTGGGAGTGGACCACGGTTTATGAAGAGGCATTTAAAACCTTGGCACTCACTATTCTGGACACCGCGTCTCTCGGGCTCTTTAATCTGAATGCCCCATTTATACTCCACAGATGCCAGCGAGAATGGAGTGGGAGCGATGCTTCTACAAGAACGTAATGGGGCCTTACAACCCGTCGCATTTGCAAATACAGCAAGACGCCTAGCTGGATTGGCGCTCACTTTACAACGATAGAATTTTTCTATTGAATGCAGGACAGGCAAGTCAATCATAGCAGCGGATGTCCTGTCCCGGGCTCCCCTCTCCTCTCAACAGGTGAGGGGAGCCACTGATACGAGTGAGGAACTTTCCTGGGGAGTAGTGGTAAACCGGGAGCAGCTGCTCAGGAACCAGCGAGCAGACGATTTTTGCCAGCAAATATCTGCACCCTTAAACCAACCCAATACCCGGGAACACAACGGGACGGCACACTAATGGTGGCCTTTTGTTTTGGTATATGCGCCACACTGACATCGGTTGGCATGGAGGCGGCCCATAACTTTGTTTCGCGACCATGCCCGAGAGGCTGAGGGCGCCAAACTCGCCAAACCCAGCATCGCCCTCGCTCCAGGACGTCGACCTAGACGACGTGTAGTGCGCGCCTCTCTCCCACCTTGGTTCTGATTACGTCCTTAATTCGATTTCGATGCCATGATCAAAAACCATATCACGAAATTAAGGAGAATTCCGAGATCGCCTGTCTTCCATCCGAAAGATCCAACCACCCCGTGCCTTGGCACACCATCTGGTCACAGGCAAAGAAGAGGAGGTGCCAGCCGTCACCCGTCTGACACCGGGATTACCTGGATTCCGGTGTGAGCCGGCCGAACACGACCATGAGAGCCATGAGCAACCGGAATACTTCGCCGGCAAACGTCATGGGCGCCCATGAACCTCAGAGATTCTTCGTGCCGCATTATTTGGCGTTACTCTCACCTTTACTTTCACCCGGGACGACCGCAAATTTGAACCACCATCAACAGACAAACAACAGTGCCAACAAGACCCACCCCAGGGGGGGGGGGGGGGGGGGGATGTGTGGCCAATAAAAGAGAAGAATTAATATGGCTCGGGGGCGCGTGAGCAGCGGGAGGACGAGGGCAGTTCGAGCCAGGGCACCGTCGAAATCGCTACTTGTCTCGTCCTTCTAAAAAAAAAAAACAAAAAAAAAAAAAAAAACACTATGATTGTGCGCTATTGACGCTGTCAAATTGGCCTCATTAGCTTGCAGCATCGGCTGCGTCTGAACTTAAGCTCAAACGAAGTATAGGGCGAGCCGCATCCGTAGATTTCAGCGTAAGACTCTCACAGACGCCCACCGGGCAAGCAGACGCACCAGGCGCTTAGAGTGATAGCAAGTTGCAGCAAAGCATGTACGTGGTTTTGAGATATTCTACACCGCTGGCGATAGCGCTCGCTCCCAGCTTTTTTTTTTTTTCTGCTTATAATTTTGCGTCTCTGGTATTTCCTATCAAAAACGATAGCACACACACACACACACGGAATCTTTCAAGCTGCCAAGATTCTACGAACTGGAGTCGAGTTACACTTCGGGAGAAACGATAGCCACGATAGAAGCGATTCGCACATCATTCAAGTGCCACGAGGGCAAGGGACAAGGAGAAATTAAGAGCTACATTTTGTACGTTTTTTATTCTGGTCCAGCTTTGATGCACATTACAGGAAATGTTTATAAATTTCCCTCTATTAAACGTCCTATCGCATTTGGATGAGTGTAATTGATCAATATTATTTCACCATCTTAGCATTGTACTTAGCTACCCAATCTCAAAATTCTTCTGTATCAAATAATCGTAAAAGGCTTAGAAGAGTAGCTCAACAGGCGCGTATCTTAAACTGACTGTCTAATTGTGTTTTTCAATTTTACTAAACGCAGATCGGAGACGACGTCGGTAGACCGCGATGGAGTTCGAAGAAGTCCTGAAGAGCACCGGAGGGTTCGGCTCTTTCAATAAGACTGTGATGATGGCGGTACTGGTGCTGGCAACCTTCAGGACATCGCTGGCCTACCTTGGCCACTTGTTTGTGCTCGTGACTCCGTCCAGTCAGTGGTGCTTCGCCGAAGACAGTTCTTCAGGTTTGCCAGAGACCACGTCTCTACCCACGGGCAAGTGTCAGATGATGCTGCCCTCGAGTGACGGCTACGGATCAAACGCAAGCTTTGTGAGGGAAGATGTGCGGGAGTGCCTCACGGGATGGGTTTTCGACAGCGACGAATTCTTTACCACGATCACCATGGAGGTAAGCGAGAGCTCTGGAGAACAAAGCGCGACAACTTGTGTACACCAGGACGCGCTTATGACGCCATACCGCTGCGGTAGCGTTGTTGTCGGTCCGGCGCATGGACATGTGCTGATCAGTTCACGCGAATCGGCTTTCTGCGCACGCACAGTCCCCTCATCTGGTGTGAGCAAACGCTGACCTGTTTGTGAACGGTGTGTCGGTCTAGACTCTATACGGTCAAACTTCGCATTTAGCGACGGAATTGAAATGCACGAGGTGTTATCAAGGTCTCGTCCACGGTGGAATTAGAGAGAGGTGTCTGAACACGGCCAGCCACGGCGGCCAAAGTTCGCCCAGGCTTCGCGCATTTCCCGGGCAGGGGCGCTGTCGGTATAAGGGCCTTCGCGCAAGCGCGGTCACACTCCGCGCGGCCTTGAAAATGTGCGCGCGAATAAGGACCTTTTTTCAATCCCATAGTCTTGTTGCGCCTCTCATGGAGTTTGCCGGATATGCGAGCGAGTTTTCGACACACTTGTTGCATGGCGAAGTGGCGCAGACAGACGCCTTTCCTTCCCTTCATCGTGGTCCTGTTTCTTGCGGTAGACTGTTAAATAAACACACACACACACACACACACACACACACACACACACACACACACACACACACACGCACAAACGCACGCGCGCGCGCGCACACAGACGCACACGCACGCACACACAAACATATATATAGAGAGAGAAAGAGAGGGAGAGAGAGGGAAAACGTAGCGCAGGATGCCGAAAAGTATAAACGGCAGAGAAACGTACTTGAGACGGTTGTTTGAAGTTTATAGCATGTTATTCGTAAAGTAAGTCGACGTTTCGGCCTGAGACAGGCCTTTTTCAAGACTGGTTACATATGATGAAATATTGACATACCTTTGCTGCATCACGTATCCCGTGACGTCAAGAGATTATGCTAATTAAAAATCCTTGCCTTCTTCAAGAGCCCCATGATAGACTCGACTCATGGCGAACTCCACTGGGCGTTTTGGAGCGTGCCGGGATTAGTTGACCAGATTCGGAATGGAGCACACTGTCTGAACGGGATCGCTCCGCCTACGGATCTCGATCTGGAGCTCCTACTCCAGATTGAGATCTGGAGCGGGAGCTAATCTAAAACAACCAGTGGAACACGTCCGTCTGGATCCCGATCGCCCAGTGAAATAGGATCGCTACAGAAAAGTCGATCCCGGCGCGCACAACAACGACCAGTGGAATTCGCCATCAGTTATCGCCACCAAAGTCGATCATTTTGGCCTAACCCAAAAGATAAGCCCCCCCCCCCCCCCCCCCCCCTCGTAGACCTTGCCGGGGAGAAAGAGAAGCCACACGTTCAACACTGGAAAATCTGACTGTACGAAAGCGGAGAGGCAGCCACGAACACAGCAGGCGCCAAATGCTCGGCAAAAACCAAATACAGTAAACGAAAAAAAAATCATAATAATAAAAGAAATTGTTCGAGAAATCACGTTACGATCTTCCTCTTCCGTTTAAAATATTAGAACGACCTTTACATATATATAAAAGGCAGCTCGTTTCGTGTGTTCTCGGAATTTGTAGCTTTTTTAGAGCGCAGCTCTTAAGCGCCCGTTTCTGGCTTGAACGGTGCCGCCGTCGCCGTCGGCGTAACCGCGCGTTGCATTATGGGACGTTTCCCATAATGGCGTCACGAAGAGAAAATTTTCCCGCTATATTTAGCGGGAAAAGTTTTCCGCTAACTATAACGGAAAAGTTTCCCACGAAATTTAGCGGAAAATTTTTCCGCAAGATTTAGCGGCAAAAGTTTACCCTCGTGACGTCACACGCGTCGTCACGAGTCACCACGTGGCGTCATATATATATATATATATATATATATACCGGGTGTTTGTGCGAAGACTTTCAAAAATCCTAAAACTTAAAGCGTAAAAAAAAGAAAAAACTTTCTTCGGGAACAAACTACCAGCCACGGCGGACGTCAGGAATTGCCAAAAACATAGTAATTAGCCAAATAATTAATTAAAATTTGTTAATTAACTTTTTAATTAGTGGAAATAGACATATGGTTCTAATTAGAAAGTTGCTGAGCGTTATCGAAAACCACTAAATCAGTCACTTTCAAAAAGAATTTCGGCGAGTGAGAAGCGTAGTAGTGCACTAAAGTTACCGCTCTTTGAGCAGGTACAAGGCTGGGGCTAGATAAGAGACGGAAAAATCGCGCGGGCGCCTTATCGCAACCGCTAGCTTTGTACCTGCTCAAAGAGCGGTAACTTTAGTGCACTACTACGCTTCTCACGCGCCGAAATTCTTTTTGAAAGTGAGTGATTTAGTGGTTTTCGATAACGCTCAGCAACTTTGTAATTAGAACCATATGTCTATTTCCACTAATTAAAGAGTTAATTAACAAATTTTAATTAATTATTTGGCTAATTACTATGTTTTTGGCAATTCCTGACGTCCGCCGTGGCTGGTAGTTTGTTCCCGAAGAAAGTTTTTTTCTTTTTTTTTACGCTTTAAGTTTTAGGATTTTTGAAAGTCTTCGCACAAACACCCGGTATATATATATATATATATATGCTGGAGGGGGGGGGGGGGGGGGGGTCTGTGCCTGCTGGGCTGTCCTCGCGCAACGCAGCAGAGGCTAGTTGCACTATTTCTCCGCGGGGTGCGGTGAGGTCGGTGCCGAGAAGAGCTCCGACTGCAAACCGAAACTTAAAAACCTGTCGAAATTTTAGGTTTTTTTTCAGAAAGCCGTAAACACCGCGCGTGCCTTCTATCGTTCTGCAGTTTGTTGATTTAGTGTTTTTCGACGATGCTCAGCAAGATTCTAATTAAAACCATGCCCTTAAACTCCATCTTTAAAAACTAATTACGCGAAAATAATTAGCAACTTAATTATCCCGAACTTTAATAATTTTCCTATATAGGCCCCTGGTTTAAAACCAAAATGACACCAGCCTTTTTTTTTTTTTTTTTTTTTTTTGATGCGTAGTTTTTGCGATATTGAATTCGTCCACTTCTTGTGAAACACACTCTCTCTCTCTCTCTCTATATATATATATATATATAACTGTGACGTAAATAAGCTTTCACACATCAATTGAAAACACTCTGTGAAGTATTACTATGATAAACTTCCACTGCGCACAGGTGTATTTCCGACTTCGTAATGTTTTCTCGTTTTGTCCCCCCCCCCCCCCCCCCCCCCCCCACGACTAAAAAGCTTACAAGAGGACAGATTTTGGGCCCGTTTACAGTCGTGTAATCCGCGTGATGCAAAAGGTTACAAATTAGGCAGCTAAAAACCTTAAACTAGCAGTCACAAAAAAAAAAAAAGAAAAGAAGCCAATTGAGGGCATGCGCACGCACAAAGTCTAAAATGCCACAGTACCCTTAATATAGTCTCATTATACTTTTATCGTGGTAATGCCTATTTCTAAATTATTGTGACAGCGTATTTTTCCTTGTGAATGAAGGTGGAATCTGGTATTTCCAAACGAATGTATTAAAGTTTTATATTTTAGTGCGTAGTGTTTCAATAACCCGAGTTGAAAATGAATGAACTCCATCACATATTAGACTGGAGCATACATTGTTATATTCAAAGTGAATTTCGGTCGTTGAGCATGCCGCTTTAATATTCGTGCAGAATGAATAGTGAATTTCGCGAAAACATACTTGATATTTAATTCTTTGTGTGATTATGATGCCATTTAAGCCACGCTCGGTGGCACTAAGACTCAAGAATAAGTGTCTCGCGTCTCGGAATGTGCACACTTTCTATCGACGCTCCAGGTTCCTTTTTTCATCCGGCTTCATAGCAAAGAGCGACGTGGATGTGATCTACGTAAATTCCTTCCGGCAGGTGATCACTACTAAAGTGTGTCAATTTATAAACGATTATCAGTCGAATGCAAACAAAGGCAGTTTAATACGGCGTTGTATTCAAAGTTAAATGTCTTAGAGAGCAAAAAACTTTTTGGAACAGACATCGAAGGTTAGAGCTTGAATGTCTGACTTTTATTTAGAATCAATGGCTTTGCAGTGAAAGCTGGAAAATGTACGCCGTACACACCTCATTTTGGGTGGGCTCTATGCTTGGCTACCTGCTCTCCGCTCTTCTGGCTGACAGGTAAGCGAACTCTGCGTTAAATCGCGAAGCGAATGCGCTCAACTAGGCAGGTTGTGAGTCTTCGGGAATAAAAACAGCGCGAAAAGACGAAAAACCAGACGAAGAAGTAACACGGACGCAGTGCTGACAGCCCAAGTAATGCATCACCAATAAAAAAAAATATCAAAAAGACGCCATGACACAGCCGTACAGAGCACGCGTTAAAAAACAAGCAAGTCAAGGAACTAAAAAAAATTCGAGCATAATTGTAAACCTGAGACTGGAGCAGAAAAGAGAACACAACAGAAGGTAGTAAAAGAGGAGGCAACGTCTCAAATACAGCTGCAAAGTTTATTTCGAACACGCTTTATATACCCCATCTCCAACGCCGTCTCTACAAAAAAAAAAAAAAAAAAAAAAAAATACACACATGACAACAGGACAATGACACTTGGGTAAACCTTCTCTTATCTCCCTTGACCTCGGCCGTGGGACACTCACACAAAGGGTCACATTCTAGCATAACCACCGCAACCCGGCGAACGTAGGTGAAATCACTACTGAACACAAAGAAAGGGTTTGACCTTCAAACGTGCGTTTCCTCTAACAAATCACTCAGTCCGAAGAGACAATACTATACACCGCTAACAGCCGGAACTGGGGCCATCTCCAAAAATGAGAACGACATTGCCCTCCTACCGCGAACCACAAATGAATAACACAGCGACTTTCTCGTCAAGTCTCATTTTTGGAGATGGCCCCAGTTCCGGCTGTTAGCGGTGTATAGTATTGTCTCTTCGGACTGAGTGATTTGTTAGAGGAAACGCACCTTTGAAGGTCAAACCCTTTCTTTGTGTTCAGTAGTGATTTCACCTACGTTTACCGGGTGGCGGTGGTTATGCTAGAATGTGACCCTTTGTGTGATTGTCCCACGGCCGAGGTTAAGGGAGAGATAAGAGAAGGTTTACCCAAGTGTCATTATCCTCTTGTCATGTGTGTATTTTTTTTTTTGTAGAGACGGCGTTGGAGATGGGGTATATAAAGCGTGTTCGAAATAAACTTTGCAGATGAGTTTGAGACGTTGCCTCCTCTTTTACTACCTTCTGTTGTGTTCTCTTTTCTGCCCCAGTCTCAGGTTTACAATCATGTTCAACTCACACCAGCTCGCCTGCACTATGACTATTTTTTCATTAAAAAAAATCATTTCTTTGCTTAATGGGCCAGGGAAGGACCGCTCCTTTCTGTTCGTGACAACTCATGTATATATTGCGATTTTGCGATGAATCAACTCAGCTGTAAGTCAGCGCTGCGTATGTGTCGCTTCTTCGTCTGGCCCTTCACCTTTTGCGCTGTTTTTAATCCGGAAGTATGTACCAACTCGCCCAAGCCTCAACTTTAGCCGGTTATGAGAGTAAATAAATGAGATAATTTGCGTGCATTTCTACTGAGCGCAAGATGAGGACCCATTAGTGACTAATCACAAGCGCCACTCGTGTTTCCAACGAGCAGAACATCCGATCACAAATCTGGCTCGTGTTTCGGTTTCGGAGCATAGTTTGGGCACACTCGGGCATGCGGCAGTGCTACCACTATCGCTCTGCACACTTCAAGGCATTTTGTTGTCTGTTTCTAATTCTTTTTTTTTCTTATTTTTTATCTAGAGAGAAATGCGACATTGCTTCAACACCGCCTTGGGTATAGTAACGTGTTGCTGCAACTTCGTTACTTTTTTTTTTTAATTCGACAGTAACGAGCCGCATTTTCGTAATCTTACTTATAACAGAAATTCTATTACTTTTCCTGGAGTAACGAAATTACTTCCGGTTTACTTCACAGTTTTTTTACACTAAAATGTCATTGAACGAGTACAATCTAGCCATTTTTTTGTACTTTTCAAATTATGTGTTCTGATATTTTGAGTGTCATGTTCGTGTTGTGTTAATTTGCTCCAACTTTACTTGCACTTTCTGTAATAAACTTGAGGGAAGAATTTTGCACGTTTTTTTGTAAGTTGTTGTCTTATGTAAAAAGCAACTTAAAAGTAGCACCATTACTTTTTAAAAGTAATCGTAACTCTAACGAATTATTTTCTTCGTTGAGTTAACTGTAACGGTAACTTCGCAACTTTTTTCTAAACTTTTATCTAATGCATTACATTTTTAAAGGAACTTACCCAAGATTGCTCCAACCCGAATGTCCGCTTTAGCGAATGAACAAATCCGGTAACTTGTGTTTGAAAGTTACCAGCGCATCTACCCTTTCCGATCACGAGTTGTACCACCGCTCCAATGGTTCCCAAACTCTAATGAAAATCGCCAGTTTTCACAGAAACTACAGAGATATTTTTTGGGCACTGAAATGCTCCTTGCTTCCTCTTCTCCACCTTCCTGAATGTTTCTAATAGTACCATACAGTGAAAAACGACTGGGTGGATTCATCAGAGGGCCAGGAGCCGAGTTCTGTTGCCCCCGCCGCTCTCTCGTCTCTTCCTCATCTTCAGTTTCTGGGATTATAACTGGAATCACACTGATCACGTGAGATACGAACTCCGTCTCCACACGTCGGTCGCGAGTTCAAAACGCGAACTCGGTACCCGAAATCTTCCTTTTCTTTACCGTAATTGTTTTTTTTTTCCCCGATTCGCAGAGAAGGATATACCTTAACTGATGGTCAATATTACTGAACATTCCGAAAATTCTTGAGCAGTAAAAAGCATTGATAGAAATAATTATATTTTAATATAAATACATTGTTGTGAGCCCTGCGCTGATATAAGAATATTACGGTTCTTCGTTACGATTGGCAGAAACTCAAGATAATGCAAAAACGGTGACCCGATATGAAAAATTGTTCCTACAATCGAGAAAACAAAAGAAAAAAAGTTAGAGCGCAAAATTGTCTGCTGTTTGCGCTGGGGTTGCAGTGACGTCAAAAAGCCGAGCTGTGATTGGCTCTGATTAAAAGGGTAGTGGGTGGACCTCAAAGCTAACTGCCTTGAGGTCTACCCACTGTCCGCTCAGTCGGAGCCAAGCAGAGCTCGTCGTTCTGGCGTAACTGGAACCCCAGCTCAAAAACCAGACGAACTCGCGCTTCGCGTAGTCACTGACAGCTGAAGCAAAGCAGAGCGAGGCACATCATCTTTTCGCTTCTTGCTTCGTGATTGGTTCTTCGACGTCCCTATCGACCGAGGCCGCAATCTGATTGGCTGCGCAGCGATGGTGCTCGCCACGCCAAGTGGGATATTTTAATATTGAATTTCATCCGCCTGTAATCTTTCTGGCCTACATAAAGATTTCTAGAGTTGAGCGGTTGAAATATTCTTTTTTTTTTAAAGCTTTTTACCGAGCACAATTAAGAGAGGGTGGGAGGAGTAGTTCCAGTTTAAAAAATGAAAACAGCGCAAGAAGACGACGGACCGGATGAAGGAAGACACGGACCGAGCGACACGGAGAGCGCTCTGTCTGTGTCGTCCTTTATCCGGTCCGCCAACTTTTCGCGCTGTTTTCACCTTTTAAAGTATGTCGTACAAACGCGCCCAAGCTTTAACTTTAACGTTGCCCCTGAATCTTGCAAATGTTTAGCGTTCTTTTCCTTTTCTATTGGTATTCACGTATTTGACATTTCTAGCGCGACACTTCCCTTTGATTAACGCAGGATTGGAAGGAAGAAGACTCTTCAAATTCTGATTGTGATTTGCTCAAGCGCGAGCTTGGCGGGCACCTTGCTCACGGACCTGGTCGGATTCACGGTTCTCAGATGCCTCGCCGGCATGGGGGCCTACACAGTGTGCAGTACTGTCTACGTGCTCGGTAAGCCGAATCAAACCGTGTGTCCGTTACATCGGAACGCTTGAGTAAAGTAACTATTGATCATTACTGTTGCGGAGCGTATACTTTTACACCAATCCCGCTGGAGCGAGGGGGGGGTAGTGATGCGAGGGCTCGGAAAAAAACCGGAAATTTTGGAAAAAAAACTGTTTTTTCTGGTTTTTTCCCCGACATAGTATTAGGGAAAAAAACCGAAACCCAAGTTTTTGAAGTATTAACAAATCTATTAAGCAAATTTCTGCAGCGAACGTTATAATTGATATCGCTGACCTCATCGAAAGGGAAAATGGCCATCACGCTCCTCTGAATTGAGTTTTGCCGGCAGAGCAGGCGGAAACTTAATCACGCTATACTAAACATAATACATCTTTCAGCCCCTAAGAAAACAAAACAGCACGACGGCGGGGCAAGTGAGGAAACACAATCACCTCGGGTTGTCTGCCGCCTCGCCCCGTCGTTGCACCGTTTGCGTTGTCTAAAAACTATGCAGCAACCATCCCGAATGACCGTTGCTTTACTGTTCAGTGTGAACGCCTTATACGGAGGAGAAATGACAGTGCTGTCCGAGGCTTGTTGGTAGTGTGTACGGATGTGATGAAGCCGTGTTTCTAAGTCCTCTATGGCGTTTGTCTCGGTCAATAAATTAATATACGAGACTCTTAATTTACAGCCGGATCTCCACTACCGCACCAGCATGAACATAGCTTTAAATAACATAACAGCAGAGTGGCGAAATATAGTCGCATATGTCAACCATTGAAGAAATTAATTGCTTTATGTACTATCATGAAGGTAGTGCCATGTTTTAATGCCACGTTAAATAATCATATTCAAAGGGGAGTGAAGTTTAACAACATTGATGTATTTTGTCATGACCCTTTTCCCTTCTAAGGGTACAACTAGTTCTGCATTAAAGAGTAAAGGATCAAACTTCAAAACCAACATTGGATGAGGTAGATATGCACGCCTTGACTAGATATCTTTTGTAAATTAAGACGGATGTTCCAAAGCAGTGTGTTAGTTAGGGCTACTCTGACTCCACGCTTGAGTCATCTCCGTCGTGGTATTTCAGATCAGGGCTCCTGAGCTCGAGATTGGAGCGAACAAACACCAACTTCTGCACTCTGTGTCCTTTGAGTCGGTTCCTACTTTTGGTGTGGACACCGCTGAACTTCGACCAGTTTCGTTCGCACGCAGCGGAGGAGGGCGGGACTTGGAGAAGGCGACAAGCTATTGGTGCCAGGGGTTCAGAGGCACACAGCCCTTGCCACCACGTGGACGGTGGAATATGCTTCGCAGAGTCCTCCAATGCCTTCCTCGACCAAGCACCTGACTGGACCCGGTATTCGGCGAGATTTGACAACACTTTTCCCACATCGAGACACATCCGTTCTGCTGTCTCTGTGATGTAGTCCATTGCGTGGCATACCTCTTCGTCACTTAAGCACCGCCCTTTGAACTTCGGGTCGAGCAAATTTGCGGCAGCATGCGCTGGACGGCAAATAAAGTTGCATCGCTTTCGCAGGATTTCTGCTACTCTTTCCTTTTCGCCAGTTGTCAAGGCAGAGTTTGGAAGGGCCTCTTCGACTTGTCTTGTTACTTTGAACAGGATCTCATCGACGTCTGAGAGGACAGCAGTGTCTGACTCAGCCTCGGAAATAGCACGGGCAACTGGCTGCAACACGTGGAAGGTGCTTTGCACATCTCACCAAAAGTATCGTTGATCTTATTTCCCTGCTCACTTGAAGCTCCGCAGCGATCACAGTTTTCTGTAAAGCTTCTTTGTTCTTCAGTAAGCCTTCTAGTGACATCAAAATGCCCGCCCAGCGAGTTTCAGCTGGTAGTTTTAATGTGGTCTGGTTTCCAGCATAGCACTCTTCTTGCCTCCTAGCAAAGTGAGCCGCAACCACGTGAGAGTTTCTGACATACTTGATTACAGTCTTGGACCTCTTGCAAACTTCTTGCAATGTCACCAGTTTGAGCATGTCCGACAGCAACAAGTTTAGTCCATGAGCACAGCATCCAAGAGTAGTGATGCTAGGGTAGCGCAGACTGACGATTGTCCACGCGGCCTTCATATTGCTTGCATTGTCGGTAACAAGAGCGAAAACCTTGTCGGTTCCAATTTTCTCCACAACCTTCACAATCTCTCCCGCGATGTAGTCTCCTGTGTGCCTGTGATCTTCCGTCTCCACGGCGCTGTAGAAAATAGGCTTCGGTGTAGCCAACACAAAGTTCAAGATGCTCTCGCCCCGTACATTGGTCCAGCTGTCCGTGAGTACAGTGATGCACAGAGCGGCGTTGACTTTCTCTTCCACCTGCGTCATCACTCGGGCATACTCGGCCTCCAAGAGTCGTGCACCTAAAGAATGCCTGGAAGGCGGCACGAATGCGGGCCTGAGGAGCTTGAACGCTTCTTGCCAGTATCTGTTTTCCGTAACTGATAAAGGCGTTCCACTGGCATATATCGCTCGAGCCAGCGCCTCATCAAGCTTGCTTTGACACCCTTGCGTCATTCTGTCAACGAACGCTTCTATAGAAGTTCGCTGCTTGACATACCTGTCGGCCTCATTTTGAGAGCTTGTGCTTTCATTTTCCACAGGTGCACGCTCTGACCGTAAAACTTCCACAGATGGGCTCCTGGACCGACATGCCCCAGACTCTGATCTTGTCGGGTCGTCCGATGCTGCAGACCTGATGTCCGGGGGGCACTTCGAGCACCTTTCGATGTGCTGCCGCAAGCGAGTTGCGTTGGGAAATACGTATTTGGCACAGCAAAATCTGCACACCGCTGGCCCCTTACCACTGTTTAGCACGTCAAAGTTCCTCCAAACGTTGGAGCGCGGCCTCACCATAGCGAACAGCGCACAGTTTTCAGGGATCCACGGCGAAAGTCCATACCCGAGAACGATGCGCGCGAGGTTTCGGAAACGGCGCTGTTCAAGCTAAAGCGTTATAGCTGCCCTGGCTGACCTCTCCACGGCGCACAGCACACAGTTTTGACAGCTCCACGGTCCACGGCAAGTGTCCACACCAGAGTAAGATGCTCAGAACTTTCACTAAGGGGCTGGGAAAGCTAAAGTGATATGGCTCCTCCGACTGCCCGTCGAGAGCGCGAACGGCACCGGCGGGAACGAAGAACTGCGTGGGTGCTATCGGTTCTTGCCAGATGAGTAGTCAAAGCTCAGCTAAATTGACAAAAGTTGCCGTAAACGTTAAAAAAGGTGATATAATATAATAGTTCACCGTAAAATTGGCGGAAATATCTTGCGGTTGTTGACCTCTGTCGATATATTTCGAATCATTACTGAATTATAGCTGTTGAGAATATTTTTCGAATGTTTCCAAAATTTCCGGAAAAAAACTTGTTTTTTTCGTCGTTTTTTTCCGGCCTTCAAAATTTCCGGAAATTTTACATCTCTAGGGGGGAGACGCGGGAGAAGACCGCGGCCAATCGCAGCCGCTCACATCGCTGGTCCTGAGAGAAAACGAGAAACGGGCAACAGAAGAGCGGAGAAAGAAAGCAGACGATGGGTTAGGCGTGTTCGGCCTGCCGTGGTGACTTAAAGTTATTTGAGCGACCGTCAACATTCATTAAGTTCTCTCAACCGGGTGCCCCAAGTAGCGGCCAGTCTCTTTAAACCTACCGCCCAAAACTCAGTTTCTGAACCTATCACTCTAGGATTTTGTGCACCGTTGCCCACAGATGGTGCATTGTTTCGTAAAATTTGCAAAGAGCGAACTTACCTGAGGAAATAGTTATAAAAGAAAAAGGCTTAGCTCCCATGGAATCGCAACGAAGCCACCGGTCTTCAAACAATACGGCGCCGTTTCGCACGGGAGACAAGAGATGGCGCAAGCGGTCGCGGCGCCAACTGCCGCCAACGAACAAGCATACGGCGCCGAGAGCCGGCGTCTTTAACAGACAATCTTTTCGACTCAAAAGCGGCGCGAGATTTTTTTATATCAGTTGCCAATGCATTATTTTATCATCCTTACTAATAACACTCATTGAATGGACATATAATCGATTAAAAAATGGTTTGTCGGGTTATTTTAACAGATTTTTTCGTGGTACTTATGGCGTCTGCTTTGCAGTTCCTTGTTGTTACCCCGCCTCTTTTTGTTTCTGTGACTGTCGCCGCCTGTGGAACACGCGCGAGTGGAAAAGATCGTCTGCTAAAGACTCCGGCTCTCGGCGCCGTATGTTCGTTCGTCTGCAGCAGTTGGGCTCGCGACCGCTTGCGCCATCTCTTGTATCCAGTGCGAAACGGCGCCCGCCGTATTGTGTGAAGACCGGTGGCTTCGCTGCGACTTCATAGGAGCTAAGCCTTTTTTTTTTGTTTACCTTTTTCTCAGCTAAATTCGCTCTTTGCAAATTTTACAAAAAAAAAAAAAAAAAAAAAGAAATGCATTATTTGTGGGCAACGCTGCCCAAAATCGTAGCGAGATGGGTTATGAAAACGAATTTTACGGTCGGTTTAAACAGTCTGGCCACTACTTGGGACACCCGGTACAATGTGCAATGGCCGTGCTTTCCAGTCAATGTAGGTTGCAGGTTATGTTTTCCTGCTACGTTGTGTATATTAAGGCATCGCCAGCAATATGGGCCCACCAGAACCGCCCACTGGTACCACCGATGCCGTTCCAAAGCTGACAGACTGCATGGGACTTCTTTCCTTTAGATTATTATATTGACTATAGGCTTGGGAGAACCAATTTCTGCAGTTCACGGGTGTAGTTCGGCGAATGACGATGCCGAAGTGCGTGCAGTCCTAAAGAAAAAAAAAAAAAAAAATGCCTGCGTTTTGACACTTTGAGCATGATGTTTCACGTGTTGTCATTCTCAATGTCGCAACGCAGATGTTTAGATTTTTTTCAGGTTTAAATAGGTTTTAGTTTCATCATGAACTCCTCCCATAAACTGCAGCAATCGGCTGTCCCAAGTGCATTGCAGGAAAGTAGACATACCGCACAGTTACTGACGGTGAGCGCGTAAACGCGAGCATATTTAAACTACCGCTGAATCGACAACCCACAAAGATCTATCTGTGTCATTTATTTGTCACAAACAAGTCAAAGCAAAACGTTTAAAACATTGCCGACGCTAAAGGCACGTACCCATACTGTGGAAGTTTGCTTTCTAAAGAGTTGATCATTTGGTGTCTTTTTTTCCCCTCTTTACGTAAAACGTGTATTAATCTAGAATTTCACGAGAAAGAAAAAGAGACAATCATTTAAAAAAAATGTACTACAAAAGGTGTAACTGAAAGGCCTAGCGTGCTAAATTTCGTGGATTTACGTCTTACCAGATTTAGCGGGGAATTATATCCCCGCGACGTTTAACAGAGAAATTTAATTTGTTAAGAAATTTACACCACTTCGGCTTTACCGCTGTAATTTATTCGGGGAAAGCTAAACGTGCGTCGCTAAATTTCGCCAAATTCTGCCTAATTTAGCCTGACTCTTAAGCTCAGAATAGCTCAGAAATTATCACCGAACTCAACTCAAAACACAATGCATACCTGTATTATGCGTAGGTGTAAGGTCAATGCATATCATTTGTTTTTAATGCGGTTTATTTATTTGGTTGTTTGGACCGCGTGCTCACGAAAACTTTGTTAAAGGCTGCACACATAATGCTTCCAAACACCATTCGGGAGTTAAAAAAATATAATAAATTTATATTAAATAATTAATTAAATTGAAACATGGCGCGGAGGTGTCTTTAGGTGATGCATTTTTTTTCTACTCAAACTTTATAAGCGTAAAGCTAACAGAAAAACAAATGAAGCGGAAGATTCTTTTTTTTTTTTTCTTCTTATGCGCACGGGAGGAAAACGCTAGAAACCGTCTTTTTGACGCTATTAGTGTAATGGATAGTACCCCACACGCTCGAATCTGCTGGATCCACTTTCTGGTGTTCATTTCTGAACAGCTTTTACGTTTTTTGCTTGATGTTGTGCCATATGTGAGTAGCTGCGTTAACCAGACGGTTTTTATTGTTTTCCTCCCTGTGCATAATAATAAAAAAAATATTTCTTAGGCTTCAATAGTCTTCCTGTAATCTACACTCACTAAATTTGAGTACTATAAATGCCGCCCTCCAAGGACACCCTTGTAAAAAGTTTCATTGCATTCCCTTAGTTGATTTTTATACGTATTTGTTTTTACGCCCGAATACCGCTCAAAACACCCTGTGTATTAGCGTTTGCCAGAAATCACACCTCAAAAGGCTAGTCTGGCCACGCTGAGTTGACAAATATTTTTATTTGGTCCCCATTATAGCAACCATGGGCTCGCATTAGCAAGGTTGCGACGATATGGGCACGCCAGCGGAAAGATGGCGCGGTCCAAGTGCCGTACGCGCACTTGCAAACGTCTATACGGGTAGAAACGAGGGAAAAAAAAGAGATGATCGCGTGTATGAACGTGAGAGCACAAAGCTTTGTTTGGAATGATTAAGTGAGTAGATGCAAAGCCTTTGCCTCTACTTACCATTCCAAAAGGAAAACACCGAGCGTCGGATGCCGGCGTTCAGCGTTCGAACGCGTTCGAACAGAGAGCAGAGACGAAGGCAGCTATGCGGAGAGAAAGTCGTCTGCTCCTTGCTCACGGGTTGTGGTGACGTCAGAACGGTACCGAATTCTAATTGGCTCTGATTTAAGGAGAGTAGCTAGGCCTCAAAGCAAGCCGCCTTGAGGTCTACCCACTGTCCTTGATTCAGAACCAATCAGAGCTCGGCGTTCTGAGTCACCACAACCCCTGACAAAAGAAGGGGACGAACTTGCCCTCCGCATAGCTTTTCGTCTGCCCACTTAAGCATTCCAAACAGAGCTTTGTGCTCTGACGTCCCTACGCTCTTTCGTCTCCTCTTTCTCTCCCGGTTCCTACCCGTATTCCGGTTGGTTTATTTCTTAGCCTTTGTTTCTCGCAGTTGTCGAATACACGGTGTCGAGGAAGCGAACTTTCATCGCTTTCACGTGGGCTTCGACGTGGACGGTGATAGGCTCGCTGTACCCCTGGTATGCCTACTTCCTCCAGAGCTGGAGGGGTCTGCTCGTCACCAACGGATGCGTCGACCTCCTGCTGCTGCTCACATTGTGGTACGGCTGATTTTGAAAGGGAGTAACGTTTATAGATGTTTAAAACGTATAGACGCCTCGAAAACGAGGACCGGGACAATGTAAGACAACATTGATGGCTTCAGCATGCTGTCATGCCACGACGTTGCGTGCAAGAGGTGTCTTCAAATTTGGTCAGCTTGAGATAGCCGAGGACGGATGGCGATACGCCTCAGCTATCTCAAGCTATCTAAATGGGAAGCCTTGATGATGTGCTGCATGATGCAATTTAACCGCGCCTACTTTCTTGATCTCTACCTTTTCTACAATGACAAGAAATGTTTGAGCGACAATTCAGAAGTCATGTTTTTGTCCGCAGCTTAAACAAGCATCTAATCAATTTCGTAGCACCTCCATTACCGATAAATTGCAATGAATCATGGCAGAAAAATATTTACTTATATTTTGTTATTGGTATCAAAGTTAGTTCAAGTGCAGTACCATGACCTGAAAAAAAAAAAAAAAGATATTCAGAAGCCCGAATGCTTCTGAATGCCATCTTTTGGCATTCAGAACCGACAAGGACGGCGAAGAACGAATCACTGAATGCAATCAGTGATTCGTTCTTCGACTTTCTTGCCGGCTAATAACCCAATCTCAATTGCTGCTGAGCTCCAATAAAATACCCGGAAGTCGGCGCGGCCTTTTAAACTGCAAGTGATTATTAATATTTTTCACATTGAGTGACATTGACATTAAAAAAAAGAGAAAGATGCTTTTTTTCAGCTGGGTTCCGGAGTCCTCAAGTTGGCTGATGTCTGCGGGTCGCACCAAGGAAGCGCTCGACACGCTCGAGAAGGTGGCCCGCTTGAACGGAAGTGCGACAACACGACGAGAACTTCAAGTGCTCTTAAGTGTAAGTGCAGACCAACCGCCGCCCTAACAAGACCACGTAGCCAAATACTCCTATCATACAAATCCCACTAACAAAATTAGATAAAAAAAATATCGTTTTTTATTTGTTGTTATGCGCTGAGCATCTTAGGGTATCTCCGCGGCCAATGAGATTGTGACATCAGTCAATAAGAACACCCAAGAAAGAATTACGAAGCAAATATTGTGAATATGACCGGTCACACTTCGCGTTCTTTGAACGTATGTGACAATTTGAATCTGCTTATTTTGACCAGTTTCGTAGTAAAGGCAGTTTTCCTTTTGTATTCTAAAATAAAAATAAAGATTTTTCGTTGTTTGGTGAAGTAGACCAATGGAAATTTTTTCATCCTGCCAATATAGAAGAAGGGCTTGTAATAAAGGAAAATTCATTGGTGGATCCTTATGGAATCTCATAGCAACACCCTTGGGAAACACCACACCGTCCCCCCTTGGGACACGCTAAAGTTGACCTCTTCACTATTCTGTCCTGGCTTTCGTTTTTGCTTCCTCTATATTTTGCTGCTCCTTTTTGGCTTCATTATGGAGTCAGCGTTAGCGTTTCTCAAAAGCGGACGTGTGTGGCGTTTTCCAAGGGTCATGCTTACGCACTCCCCAAAGATCCACCGATGAATCTTCCTTTACTTTGTTTGCGGTCTACTTGAACCAGCGCTAGTACTTGGCTCATACTCCACTTTGTAACACAAACCAAGCCATACCCGCCCCGCAAACACGCAAGTTCAGAGTCTTCAGACTCGCCCCGGCATCCGCGCGCGGATTGGCTTCCGCCCCGTGACGTCGTCTCCCTCTCGCCTTTGTCCTTCGCTACTCTCCTCCTCTCTTTGCGGCGTGCTTCCCTTTCGACTACTTGCGTCCACAGACGGACGCCGTCAGCATCTCGCTGTCGTGTAAGCACTACTGCTAATGTATTAAAAAAAATTGTGCAGGACAGCATCTGTGGAAAAGTTGGCTCATCCAGCGGTGTCAAGAAACTCCAGTCTTTCTCCGAGACGACAGTGGCCATTTGGAAAATGCCTCGGATTCGAAAATTCACCTTGCTGATCTACGCGGCGTGGTAAGGTTACTTTGTGTCCTTGTTCTCCTTCTTACGCGAAGGCGTTCAAATAAGAATGTGCTATGCCCCTTTCCATGTTCGATATTAACTTCCTCAATGCTTCTCCTACTTAACTGTTTACCGCGCCTTCGAGTGTGACCTTTTGATTTCCGTCCGATGGCCTCGTTGATGTGTCACGGTGTTGCCTGCCCCCGGTCCTGGTGGGCACCGCAGAGGAGGTGGAAGATGGTTGTTCTGCTGCACGTCGCTCTGTGACTTGACAGTCCCCGGAAATTTCTGCAGCTAGGAGTTGGGATAATGCCGCCGCCGACGACGGCGACACTCGCGTTCTATTGTCCCTTTTTGCCGGAACTTCTACGACTGACCGCCAGAATCGCGACATCCCACACCATGGCAAGACGTCGTTTGTTGCCACTTTCGGGCAACATTCATTGGCTGGGTGGTATAGGGCGCTATACACACAAGTCGAAGTAGCGTTCTAGATACCGTATATCCATGAGGCGTATAACGGCTGCTGTTTACCACTCAACTTGACTTTTTAGGATAGTGCGAAGCTAAGCTAAAAATGCATTATTAAAAATAAAATAATAATAACTGCATCTGCACCGCCGTTGATTTATCGAGGGTAAACATAAATCGAGTACTTTGCTTCAACCATTAAAACGAAAGTGTTGAAGTTTCTGATAGTGTCACTCGAGGATATTGTCGACAGGTGTCTATCTGCGCTCTAAAGAAGTATGAGTTCACTTTCCAGAAGAACGCGAAGACAGCCAATTGCGGCGAGTAATACAAGAATTCTAGTAATGAAATGACAATGTTCAGAATACAATTGGACCCAATAATTGCGATCTGCGTGGTGACAATGATCAAGTGAATCGTCATGCGCACTGTTACTAATAACATCAGCTTTCTTTTTTTGTTTCGTTTACTCGTATGGCTAGCTTTTTATTCTTCATTCAAAGATTGACCGCCGGGCCCGAGGGCGTTAAAGCAAGAGGCTGCAAATAATATCAATCAATCCATCAATCAATAAGTGTTTATTAAAATGTTGAAGAACAACCAATTTGTCTTAGTGCTGGCACCCTTAAAGAAAAAAAAAAACGAGCCAAAACACAGATACAAGCACACACACAGACGAGTGCAGAAGAAGAACGTAGTTCACCAGTCTGAGAATAAAAATATTAGCCAGTACGAAAGACACTCAAATTAACAAAGGAAATCAAAAGCACAAAAGAGAGACATCCTCAAGTGTGAGAGCAAAAAGCAAATACTTGGATATCGTACTGAAAATATCAACGCTTCGACTGACGAGCCCTTTTCTTGCAAGAAGTTTCGAACAGCGTTTCCGAACTTGCTCCCTTATGAGTTAAAAATTGTATCAGAGTAGCGGTTATAACATTCAGCCGATCTTTGGATCGGGTTTATCTGGCTAAAATGTCGAGCTATATAAAAAGATGATGGGAGCCGTGTAGGCACACGGGGAATCATAAGGCTCACATCGGACCGAATATAATAATAATAATAATAAAAATAATAAAACATGTTTACGTTAGGACACAATACACGTACACTTGTGACAGCCGGTTCCACTCTACAACAGTTTTAGTGAACAGAAAATAAGAATTGGAACACATGTTTGTCCTAGCGTGGTACACTCCTAATAAAAAAAGAAAAGAAAACGTGGTTACTTTTTGTAGAACCATAATACGGTTCCTTTAAGTAGATCTCACTGTTAATTACAGTTTCATTTTTTTCAATATTCATTGAAATGGTACAAAGGCGTCTGATACGCATAATCTACGCATTTTAACAGGAGGCTCTATTTCGAGTATGATTTTGTAGTTAAAGTTTTAAAACCTCAGAACCTTAATTGACCGCAGGCATTACCTAGATGTGGTACTTTTACAGAAACTCATACAAGGTCGTTTCGATGTACTTGATCTCTTAAGTGGTACAAGCTTATGTGTGCCAGCTAAACATACGTGTCTCTGCGATACGTTTTATCCTGACAAGCAGATTGAAGGGTCACCAATGCATAGAATTTAACTTTTTTTGTAATAGCCTTGCGCAGCATGATTTCTTTTCCATGCCTTATTTTACTTTGAATACCGAGTTGTGTCCGTAATTTGTTTTACTATGACTGATGTGCCACTCCTGTATGTCTTTGCATGTTCAATTCAATGTGACTTTTATGTGCACCAATATCAAACCTTCGCGCTGTTTTGGGCACGAATAAATACCAATACCAATAGCATAAAAAATAATCCCATTTTCTTTCGGCAAGTTTAGTTTAATGTTTCTGCCAGTACAGATATCTTTTCGGTCATACCTTGCAAGAATTAACCTAGCAGCCCTATTTTGAATTGTTTCAAGTTTGAAAATCAAGGTTATTTTAGCAGGATCAGACCACTCATATGTATTTTTCGAAATTCTCTAGGAGTTTTTCTGTATTGTTCGCCGTGATTGGCTGTTTTTACGATTTGTAGGCAAATAAATTCATGGATGTGTTTTAGTGTGTATGGAATAAGGTATTGACCAGATACTCCAACGATATCTAATCAGAATGCACAGCACTTGAGGTGACTTTAGATGGCATAAACTCCAGGCGGTGAAACCTATTTTAGTGATCTTTGAAAATACAGGGATCACTTCCTTTTCTTTTAAACGTTCCTCGAAAATAAAACACATTTTTAGTCAGTGAAATACCCTGTAATTCTCTGGCGTCTAAGGCATACATGTTCCATCTTTTTCTTTCATGTTTCAGGTTTGCTATCAGTCTCTGCTACAATGGCGGCACTTTGGAGTTGGGCAGGCTGGGCCTCAACATTTACTCCACTTACTCCACCGCCATCGCATTTGAGCTCCCCGTGAACGTTCTTTGCATCCTGACGCTGGACAACTTGGGACGCCGGTGGCCCAATGTGGCCTTCATGTTGCTCGGAGGCGTCGCGTGCTTGGTGGTGGCTCTCGTGCGCACAGGTATTCACCATAGCCTCCTCCATACTGACAAAGCCTGGCAGATCGCCACGACACGCGGCCGCCGAAAGCGAAAAGGTAAAGCGGCAGCCAACGGATGAGAGGAGATTCATGTAACGGGCGCCCTGCTGCGGCGAGACGCCGAAACACACTTCTCCCATGCGATGGAATGTCCGCTTGTGCTCCTCGCGTTTCTGGCTCTACCGCTTTTTTTTTCTTTCGTCAATTTTGAAAAACAAATATTTTGGGCCCTTGCCGCTGAAAAAGCTGTGCGCTGACGTTCAGGTTCCTTGAGAAATGCTCTGTGCTATCAGATCGTCGCACTTCACGTCTGCGACCGGGCACCCCATGGCTCCGTCATCAAACTGCCAGGCTTTGGGAGTATAGAGGCGGCTATGTATTCACATACCAGGCTTTATTCTAAGGTAGTGCGACAGTTCGTTGACACTCTGCTACGGGCACCGTAAACACACAGAGCGTGGCTTATTCTGCCCTCGCACCCATGCTTCGTGATTCGTCTTTCAGCGCTCCTATCCGCTAATGCAGCAAGCTGACTGTCTGCGTAGCGATAACAGAAGGTTCCGAACTCGCCACGTCCTCCCCCCCCCCCACACAGACACACACACACACACACGGAGCTTTTTTTTTTGTGACAGTCGATTTTTTTATGGTGTCAGAAGAAATCAATACTTTGCTACAGCGGCACGTATAGCTTTAATAAAAAAAGAAATACAACGCAACTGCTCGAAACGGAAATCGAAGCTAGACTGGGGAGCAAGGAGAAATATAGGAAAGGAGAGTTTTGCCGGAAGTCACGTGACTGTGCAACTTTTTTTAATCAGCGTATTTGCAGCTTTGTAGAAGCCACAAAAGTGGGTATCTCTCATATATATATATATATATATATATATTTTTTTTTTTTAATATTAAGTGCGTCCTTTTGATGATTCCCGACCCGACTTGGATTATATATAGTGGTTGTGTCTGAACCATGAAGGAACGGCCAATTGTGTTCTGGGAGGTTGGGCTCTCATGTCATGTACAAATAAAAACCTTGGCGAGCATAAATACCCTGGCAGTGTTCCTTTAAGCTGTCAGTCACCTTAGACCTTGCTTATAGTGACTACTATAGACCAGGTCTATAGTTACCTGGTATATACTGCCCAGGCCTGGGCACCTCCTCCCCTCCTAATGGGGGGAAGGAGGGGATTAAGGCTGAGCAGAAATCAGAAATACCCCGAAAAAGTATTCCGCAATACAAATACTGCGACACATGTACTACAAGTCCAAAATACAAATACTGAGATAGATTTGTCTTTTATATGTAACGAAATATCTCTAAAATGCAATCTTTTAAGGGGGGGGGGAACGCTCCCCCCCCCCCAAAAAAAAAAATAAAAAACACGACAGAAGGGTATTTTCGATAAGAGACGCATAGACTCTTTACCAAATGGTGGTGGGCAGGGAAGGGTGCAGTTCGTGGCGATTGCAAATGGTACAGCTTGTGTTCCTCCCTTTGTGTTAGTTTAATGCACCTCCCCTTACCTCGAACTCTTTATCTATTCACAGCTACCACCCCGATTGCCGCTAAAATAGTAAAATCGCCCCCAGTGAACAACATAAGTATACTGGAAGCCCACGACAGCTTGCCATGCTTGATAAATGACGTCTTCCCAAAATTCCCTGTTCTGAGTGAGGGTGCGTTTCAAACGGTCGTCTTCCCTGCCACAAGTTATTTGATGTCCATCATCGGTGATTTACTTCTCGTCACTCGCTTCTTCGCAGCTCTCACTCTGCTAAAGTGTAATGAGTCGAGCGCCTTGAGGGAGAAGCTTGTTGTGCTATCCTTTCTGGTGACCTTTCCGGAAACCAGCTTTATTTGTTATTTTTTAAATTCGTCAATTTCATTGATTCTTTGTGATATCAGCCAGGCTTTCCCCAAGTAAAGAGGGTTATGGGTCGGGTTCACATTATAACGTTTCGGACCCCTCTTGTTTAAAAGCTGGTTCCCGTTTGTCCTTAAAAAAAACGGATGGTTAATTTTTGACAATGAATGCAACAAGATGCAAGCCTGGCAAAGTATTGACATACAAGCTATACATCGTAAATGTAAATCATTACTAAGATACGAATACATTTCTCAAATGTATTTCTCTACAAAGATACAAATACTCCTATGTATCTTTAAGATACTATCGCGATACATTTGTATCACGATACTGCCTAGCCCTGGAGGCGACTACAGCCCAGCCGTCTCCATCCGTCTCAGATTCCGAGCTTGCTGTCTTGGTGATGGCCGTGGTGTCCATCATGTCGTTCAGCGGGGGATACACGGTCACGTACCAGCTGGCGGGAGAGCTCTTCCCAACGGTGATCCGCGGCCGTGCCATTCTGATTCAGAGGTTCATCGGGGACGTCGGCGGCCTACTGGGCACACGGGTGGCTTCCTTGGTACACGCACACTTTTCCTTCTTTCTTCGACCGACCTTTGTTGTCGTGGATACGGTCTGTTGCTAATGGGTGTCTTTGAATTTTTGAGTATAAAAGGCCGCGAAACATGTCAACAAGATCATGATTACTCAATCGCGCGTGATTCATTGCATCTGTATTTGCCTCCTTTGTGCATCTGAGAACTGAAGATGGTGCTTGCTACTTGTAAACTTGTTACTCGTATAAATATGTCCCTAGGAGGCTGCTAAGCTCGCAAGCATCCTAAGAGTGCTGTTTTAACATATTTAGGTTCTAAAACCCTAAGGCAAAGGGCGGCGGAGAAAAGCTTACTGGAGAAAAACTCATCGCAAAACCTTCCGATGCGGAGAAAAGCACACCGTCTTTTTGACGGATGCGGAGAAAAGCTCACCTGAGAATCTGTGAACAGAGCATTGGCATGCCACACGTGAGTGTGGTCAATCTGCATTTCCCTAACAAATAATATACTTTTAAACATACCTTAATTATAAAAAAATGGATGCAGCATAGCCGAGGGAAAATATAACCTGTGTTGTAAGCTCCAGCTTGAGTAGTTCCTTCGTTATTTGTTATATGTTAAGTTACCTTTCATGTACTAATAGGGGATTCTACATTTTCAAAACCACCGTTCGACATTTAAGAACCTACGCTTTCAATACTCTAAGCTGTTCCAATAAACAACTAAATAAAATTGGTATTGCCTGGATCTCAACTATGTCACAATTGAATATGGCAAAACTCACGTTGAAACGTTCTACATAAATGTGGAACGAGGGCTGCAGCAAAGCTCCTTGCTTTAAAATGTATATCACCAGCATTGGACACGCCTGTAAATCTAATTCTACTACTGCTCCTAAATTGTTCAACCCGGTCCAAGAATACAGGAACAAATGAGTCACTTTATGAAATAAACATTAAATGGATAAAGACCACCTGTCATAAAAAAAATTTAATTTCAAGTGAGCTTTTCCTTAGGCCTGTCTAAAGACTGGTGAGCTTTTCTCCGTGCCCGCACGAAAGTAGGCGAGCTTTTTTCCTGTGAGCCTATCTTCGGTGAGCTTTTCTCCTGAATTCTCAGGCCAACACCATTAAAAAAACAGCAAAGTACGAAGCTTGAGGCACTGAGTCGTTAAAACTCGTATGCTTACTTTCTTTTCTTTCAGGCCGAAAGCGACAAGTACATTCCCATGCTGGTGATGGGTGTCGTGGCGTTGACTGCCTCCTTTATACTGTTCTTTTTACCGGACACGGTGAACGAGGCACTACCACAAACGTTGGAAGACGGCGACAACGTTGGCCGGGGCCAGGGACTCTGTTTTTGCCCTGTTTTTGCTTCAAAACCGGCGTCGCCAAAGAAGCGGCCGGAGGTCGAGGCATACGTGACAACTACGCGTGAAACCAACACAGTGTTCACAAAGAAAGTGAACACTAGTGTAGCGATATAGCAATTCGATCTGTCACAGACGGGCGATAAAAGTGAATCTATTAATAAAATTTAGCTTGTCGGTTTTTTTCAATATGACGGCTGCCTGAAATAATAGGAGACAACTTTTGGGGAGAGGCACTTGACTGATTTTTGAGGGACTTGGTTGCATTCGAGACATATCCTGTTTGATTAGCAACTCTGCACAATACACCTGGTGATCATGCAACTGCTACGTGATCATGATCTCAGACCGCAAATTTGAGGCACTCGGAATCTCGGATAATGTTGTTTAAGACTTTAAAGGTACTGCGACTATCAAATGAGGTTTAGATATCGCTAATTCAATATGAATAAATTGAAATTTCAAGTCAGTTTTTTTTCTGAGTCACAAAAATAAACCGACTTCGGGGGTGCGTTTATTGAATGCACGGTGACATGTTATAACGTCCATAAAAGTCGCGTTAGTTTAGTGTTATTAATTAAATATATGCTAGCTTTGTATAACGTAAGCAACTCAGCGTCAACTTTCCCGCGAGGCACTCAGGAGAGCCAATCACAGAGGTTCCCGTCCACTTAACGTTTTCACCGGCACTTTGACAAACCACCAGGGCCGCGACAATCGACAAGATACACCGGTTCTCGTGACACTATGTTGCCGCTCGGAAACCACTTTTGATGCATGGATGGCATAGGACGTGAAACACACAGGTTAAACAAACCATTCAAAGACACGTTCCAAGCACGTTCGAGACCTTTACTTCATTTCAGCTTAAATCCAGAGGCAGCCGACGCTACGAGCTGATAGGACCAATCAGACACCGTGAAAAGCGGACCATCATGGTGTTCGTCAGTTTACTGTACCCGTTCTATCATCGCTGGACCAATCATTTATAGGAAAGACCCGGTTACTTGCACTTTTAACGCCGATTGATTGGCCCCATTAGCTCGTTGCGTCGGCTGCGTCAGCACTTAAGCTGAAACGAAGTGTAGAAATAGTGCGTGTAGTAACCAGAATATCTAATCGATCTCCCAAACGGTGCCTTCAGAGTCAGTGGTTCGTTGTTGATACTCTGCTTTTTTTTATTTTTTTCGATCCATGAACCTCGGAAGGAAAAGACAAATATTTCTTTTTGTCAGAATTACCCAGTTTAATTTTTATCCTGAGACGCATACTGAAAGCTTAGTGCCATACAAAGCTCGATGAGTTCACGCGGCCTAAAACATGTTAGAGAATCTGTGCACATGTGCAACTGCATATTCATTGACTTCACGCAAATACTTCCGCCTTGTCACGAGCTAACGGCAAGTGCAAAGTGAAAAGTCTAAAAAGAAGGAACTTGAAATATATATATAAACGGCTGTTTTCCAGAACTCGAGCATCTGCTTACACAATAAACCGGAAGAACGAAAAAAAAAAAGAAGGGGAACGACACATGAAGTTGTTTCTATAATTACCAAATACTGCTGCAAGCGGTATGTCTGTTCAAGCATCCGCAAAGGCATAACCGACAGCTTTGACAGCTTACAAATGGCAGATTCAATTTCACATTTGCTTTGGCGGATGTCTTCTATCAAGGGGAAATCTGCTCGCCTAGTGTTCCACCGTATGCACACAATTCTTAGTAAGTCTCAAAGAAACGATCACGTTCTCTTTTTTACATATGAAAATGATTTTGAATGACAAATTACTAATATCACCGCTACTGAGTATAACGCTCCAGTCGAGTGTTGGCAATATCTTTGGTCTCGCGTCAGCCAAAAGCGACGTTCAAAACCGAGAAAATCTTTGAACATTCGAGGATCTGGCATAGAACACGTATCCGTTCCACATAATCCAAAGTTACGTAAGCAAAATTTTCCGATCTTAAGTACACGGTGCTGCCAGAGCTTATTTGCTTTCTTAACGGGATATTTATTTGTTTAAAGGACAACCGCTTATTAGCAACGTTTATTAAGCCAATAAAGATTACAGGCATCATTGCGCTTTCTGTTTCCCAATGATATATCTTTATCAAAGCGATGATCGATAGGAATAGCTGCATATGGGAGAGCAGAATTTTGACGACTACTTGACTATATTCATGTGCCGTTGGTTAATGCTTCGGATGAAGCGAACGATTTACGTTTACGTGAGCCTGGTCTCATGCACCCAGTATACACTCCAGTTCTGGTAATGGGCGTTGCTTCGTTTGCGGCGTTCGTTCTGCCCCGCTTTGTACCGCGGGCAAGGTGAACGAGGCACCACCGCCGACTTTAGAATGACGGCGACAAGGCTGCTAGTGGAAGAGACTTTGTTTTGCCCTCTCTTTTCGTCGAAAAATGACGTGGCCCAAAAAGAACCGGCCAGATGTCGACATACTATCATGTGAACTACTAAAAGAACCAACATTGTTAACTCTGACACATTACTGAAGAAACAAAATAAACACTGCGTAGCATAAATAGTCACTGACAACTTGAGAGGCGCTGAGTGTGGCGAGTTCCGTGCATCTCATTATCGGTTCGCAGTCGATGCGATAGCAAAATTATCCGATAGGAAGGCAGATGAACGAAGCAAGACTTATTAAATAAACGCCTTGCCTTTTCTTAAGCTGTCAGTGCTCTAAAGACTACTATAATTTATCGTCATAGTGCTCTACAGAGCACTATTATTTATTATGAGCCGGTCGTAAAACTTGCGTGATTAATCAAACGCATCCTCTCGTCCCTTTTTGAAAAACAGATGAAAATGTCTCTTACCGGCGTTTCCGGAAAAAATAAAAATATAAAAAAATTGTTACAAAAAAATAATTTAGCGAATTTTGTGCAATTTGTTTTATTTGAGGGGAAAGCGCGCGTGATTTATTCATTTAACGATCAACGCAACCCCGGACAGGCGCTCGCCATGACACTGGCGAGCATATGCTCGCCAGTGTACCGAGCTGTGGCGCACTCAAACGCCTCGGCGCCCCGACATGTTGTTGAGCAAGGAGGATAGAAGGGTAGGAGAGGGCATGACGTCGGCCGCGTAGCCTCCACAAGCCATGCTCCCTTGACGCCTCGCCTCTTTCTCATTTTCCTCATTACTCTCCTTACTTACCATGCCAACGTGACCAGATCACGTGACCGTAGCTAGCCTTCGTCTTGCTATGGGGTACTAGAACACACCACAGTCTAGCCTTCGATCTGATAAAACCTACCGGACGGAGCGCGCGCAAGCCTGCAAGGAGTCCTTCTACAAGCAACCATCCATCTAACACGTGACATGTCACGCGCACCAATCGCCAGAGAGATCTGCGGTCACGCTGGGCGCAAAATCGTTTAAACTTTTATGACTAGGCTTCACCAATACTGCAACTTGCCCCCTCCTAGTACTTCTAACCTCCTAGTTGTTGAGAGTTTTGTCCAGATTTGTTTAACACGCCCGCTTCATCGCTCAAATAATATATTAATGCAATCAGATCGAAAATTTGATGGCTTAATAATAGAAACTTCTGAAAAGTCCACCCAGCAACATTAGCGGTCGCCATCGCTTGGATACGAAGCGCGTGATTGGATCCGAGTCCTCGCCGAAAGCTGACGTCACACTCGTATCCAATACAAGCTGAGCCGAAATCACGCCGAACGCTGACGCAGCCCTCGGGACCAATACATTCTCAGAGTGTGTATGCTTGACCAAGCAATGGCAAACAGGCATTGGCGCCAACTTTCGAAAAAGGGACTATTGGATTAACATTACATCACTCCTCTAACCTTAATCTTTGTGAGAAAAAAGAACCCACACGCATTATAATCGCTTTTAGTGATTGAATTGTAGTAATCCACAGCAAAGCTGTGTGGTGTAACTTATTAATTACACTGTACGCGCGCTTTATACGTGATGCGTGGAACGCGTCTCTGGCTGGTGCGTGTCTAACGCATCTGCATTTTTGGTCTCTCGAGTTTAGCTTCGTGACATTACAGCTATATCTTGCGCCGTAACAGACACTGACAGCTAGCGCAGAGTACTGTGTTCGAGCTTTTCGCTCCGCGATTCGCGCTTATGGCATGTTTACACTTGTGGATTCGCGGGCGGATTCGTGCTGGCGGCGAGCGAAATTCGAACCGGACGGCGAAATCGACTGGTTGATGCCAGAAAATCTGGATGTCGGTCCCGGACTCATCCAGAATTTCTACCAGCGGCAAGCGGATCGCGCAACCCGGCTCCAGAATCCGCTCGTCCCCGGTGCGGATCCGCCCGCGAATTCGCAAGTGTAAACGCACCACTAGGCGTTACCTTCTAATGCGACGATCCCATTGGCCTCGCGCTTCGTAGACTGTCAGCGACCAAGTGTGCCTGGATATCAGAGTGTTTCCAACTGCCCGATAGAGGTCACATGGTTTACGGGCCGGGTTCGCAATCCAAGGTGTGGGCTGAAAACAAAAGCTTTGATCGTCTGCGAGCGGCTTCGCTCATTCTCTTCATCGGCTGTTCTCCTCGCCACTCGGCGACGCACACATGAGGATTAGCGTCCAACCTGCGGAGGAGGTGTCAGCCATTAGATGACAAACGCTCTGTATGCATTGAGTTGCTCCCTCTCTTATACCTGGGCTCTCTATTTTACGCTGCCGGTGACAGCGATCCTGGCGGTAACACTGCAGCGGAGGATGGTTCGGTCAGGCGTTGGTCTGGCAGGCGCCTCTTCTTCTAGATTTCACTCTCAGCCTTTCAGTTGACGAAAGCTGTAGCAGGAGCAGGTTCGGACGACCGCTATGCTTGTATCCGCTCTCGCGAGCACTTCTATGCGCCGAGCGATTGAGGGAGACGTCAGAACGCTTCCCGGGGACGTTACAACGCCGAGCTCTGGTTCGAATGATTAGTAAATAGACGCGAAGCTAGATGGTTTTTGTCTCTACTGTACTTGTCAAATGGGAAAGCCGAATTCCGAAAGCCTGCGTTCTACGTTCTAACGCGCTCTAAGAGTGCAGTGGCATAGCCTCGTATATACTGACAAAGCCTGGCAGATCGCCACGAGAAGCGGCCTGCGAAATGGAAAAGGTGGAGCGGCAGACAACGGATGAGAGGAGAGCCACGTGACTGGCACACCGCTGCGGCGAAACGCCAAAACACATATCTCCCGAACGAACAAGCGTGTTTCGGGTCCTCACCGCTGCAAAAGCTGCGCGCTAACATCCAGGTTCCCCGAGAAATGGCGCTTTGATGCTCTGTGCTACCAGACCCTCGCGCTCCAAATCCAAGTCGAACAGCCAGGCTTTGTAAGTATAGAGTAGGCTATGGCAGTGGAGACAAAGGCCCCTTTTGTTTCCATTGCACTCTAAGAACGCTTTAGAACGGGAACGCCGGCGTCCGGTGTTTGGCGCTCACCTTCAAACGCGTTCGACGAGTGCTGTGGAGACAGAAGCAGCTATAGCTTTAGGTCTACCCACTAGTCGTTCCAACCAAAGCTCGGCGTTCTGACGTCCCCCGGCGCTCCCGTCTCCTCCTCTCCCTCAGTTTCTGCCCGCAATGGTTTGTCGTGGCTGCCGACGACACGGTGCCATTTGCGAGCGCGTTCCTATTGGTCGGCAGTGGCTTCCGGCTACGTGCCACCGGTGAGGCACTACATTTGCGGTGACGTTTTGACATTCTGGCTTAAGCGAATCGCAGAAAGAACAACCTCGGCGGTTGTTATATACTCAGTGCAATTCATCCAGCGCCCTAAAGTCGAAAACTTCATCTTCTTCAACGTTTATTGCTGCCACTTTTACCACTCTATAGTCAAGGACAGCTTGAGAAGCACTAGCCGTGGCGAGGCCAAGCATCTAATCGCCTCACAGCCAATGAAATTTTCCTATAAGTTAATAAGACAGCAAAATAAAAAAATCTTGGGGCCAGAAGCGTGAGCACATTAGTCCATGCCTTGCGTTTCTTAATGCTGGCATCGACTATTGATGCAGAACGGGTATGCAGACCGCAAGTTCGTCTTCGTCTTGCGCAGGGGTTGCGGTGACCTCAGAACGCCGAGTTCCGGTTAGCTCTGATTGAAAGGATAGGGGGTAGACGTCAATGCTAGCAGCCTTGAGGTCTACCCACCATCCTTTTGATCGAGGTACCACAACTCGGCGTTCTGACGTTACCGCAACCCCTGCGGAAGAAGCAGACTAACTTGCGCTCCGTATAGGACGCAAGACAGAAATTCGGCAGAGGCAGGCAGTGTAAGTTTCTAATTACCGGCAACCAAACTTTACAAATATATAGCAGATATGTCCCTGGAAACACCGCCATTTCATCGACATCTTTTGCTTGAAAGTTACGTATGTTATTGTAGGACTGCTAGCAAGGCGTATGCGGTTGTTAAGAAGTGCACGTTCAATTCGCTTGACTGCTGCTAAATGTTCATTGAAAATGTGTTTATTGATCTGTGGCTGTTACGACCGTGACTTTTGCCCAAGGTCATCGTGGCGAAAGGAGAGGAGGTTAAAAGGAAGCGTCATGGTGTCTCAACATGTACGGTCTCAGGCTGGCTTGATGGATGAATATGACCAAGCCTCGCCTTGATGACATTCATCCGTCTCTCCGCAGCGGACACATTGTGCACTTTCTGCACATAAAAACAAAATTGTCCAATAACCCCCCATCCCCTCCCAAAAGAGACCTGCTCATTACGTAATTCTTAGTGGATCCCTGACCTGCAACATGATGGAGACACGCTGAAGCTCCACGTAGCAGCACGTGTGAGACATTGCAAACTGCGCTCGTGGCGACCTGGACACAAGATAGCTGACGCTATATAGATTCATTAGTGATGACGTTACAAAATGAAAGCGCGGGCCTTCCCTTCTACTAGCTGGCGTTGCTCTTACCTTACCAGGGTCTGGAAGTTCTATATCCGCCACGTTGCGCCACCCTGGGCTTCAATATGGCAATGTTAGCGCTGAATATTTTACAAGACAAAATTATTAGAGGCCTAAAACATGTTCAGAGTACTCTACATATTCACACACTGACGGTTAAAAAGTTGTACTTATGTTAGAAACGCAGAAGCAGAACTTTTTCAAACTGGCACTTCCTACACAGTCGGCTTTTCCCTTGTAGAGGTTCAGCCTAGAGATGTCGCCTAGTACCCTTGGCGCCCTTTCGTCATCGTACACCCTCACTGTCGCTTCGAACACAGAATTCCCGGGATTGGTTTCCAAGGTCACAGAATAGTCTAAAGCTCCGAGGTTTTGAGGGTCAGCCGTGTAGACCCTCGCACTCCTTATCGATCTGATGCTGTGTTCGGCACAAATATTCCTGTGGGAAACCAACTGGCCATTGATGTGCTTCAGGAGACTCAGTGCTGCAATCTTCACTGTTCTGTTTTCGGGCTCTTCAGCGATGCTAGGTCTGCAAACGCACCACTGCTCGTCGATTCCGGCGTCCCTGCAAGTACGGTTTACGGATACCTCGCCAAAAAGACTAACAGCGCGCTCTCGTGCCACGTCTTGGAGATTGTCTGGTAGGTCATCTACATCTAACTGTCTTGACGTGCCTTTGAACTTGACTAGGTTTCTGAGCGTCGCGTGCAGATCGAAGGGGGTGATAAGGCGTCTCGAGTTTATGTGAATGTTGCGCATGATGTTAGGATGATGGCGTCTGAACGTAGGAGGAAGCCGAATAAAAAGCATGGGTAGTCTGTCTTCGAGCATTCCGACGTACGTGTTTCTGATGCGCCCCCATCTTTGACCATGATCACTCATGAACACTACGATCGTGTTGTCGATGTAAATCCCTCGCACAAGAGACTGGAAGAACGATTTGTACAGGTGGTCCACCCTCGATCCGCCGTTCACGTCATCGTGAGTGAGGCTGTTTATCCACGAGAACGCGAAAGATGGCCTCTGTAGCGAGTGCTCGACGAAAGATCGTAGCCAGTCGAGCACAACTCCCGTTTCAGACTCGGGTCCAACGCACTCGTAACAGTTCAATGGTCGTACGCGGCCCAAAGATTTCTCGTACTCTGCAATGAACGGGTGAAAGTAGTAGTCGGTCGGTTGGACTAAGAATCCTGGTTTTAGATAGTTAAACGTCGATATAACCGGTGCGTCTTCAGCGTAAAGCGTGCAAAATCCGCTCTTGGCAAGCGGCTTCCAGACAAAAGGCAATTTGTCCAAAAACTCTCCTTCGTTCCAGATGCCGTTGCTGAGTTCTTCTTGCCTGAGCCCCGTTAAAAGAGGCACTAAGTTTGGAAACGTATTGTCTCCAACCTTCGTGTAGCCGTACATTTCGATGGCCGACATCTCTTCCTTGAGGTACTGAATTGTTTTGGGAAATTGTCGATGGGCATTGAGTCGTGACATACCGTCGACGCCGACTATTAGCACGCTATATTGGAAGTGAGGTTGCTTGGGGTCAAATGCTTCTTGAAATCGGCGCTCATATAGTCTCTTCCCGTGAACGAATGCGTGGTAGTTTGTGTAAACCAGGATATCCTTATTGTAACATTCGACTTTGACGAACTCGAAGTGCACGTCGGATCCGTTCTCAAGAGGTATGCATTCGACCTGGAACCTGCATAGATAACAAAGTACACCCTTTAAATTGTTGGAGTAGCATGCCATGGGTTCAGTGTGAAGCGTTATCTGCTAAATTTACGTATAAATATTTCCTTGGCGAAACAGTCACTTTCGAACTTGGTTCGCTAGGTCATGTCTTTGTGTTGCACAATACAAAGTATTAGCGAGTTCAGGAGGTCAGACGTGAAGGTATGCTGACGAACGAACAGTTCAGAGTTCATCGTCAAATGACGACGCTCTGAAGCTGATATTAAGCGCTAATACACGTGCATTTCATGAACTTCACACAGAAATAGAGACTGTAAGTTTCTAAGGAAAAAAAAAATATGACGAAGCTCTTACACATTATCCGTGTCGCTCTGCGGGTGTTGATTTCTGAAGAACGGCCTGTAGCAGCAGAAGAATCGGATTGCAGGAGCACCACGCAGTACCTTTGGCAGGAGCTGATGATCGATGAAGATCCGGCGCTCCTAAAGTTATCATAACAGAAACGACGAACGTCTACCTTCAGGATAATAACTTCGTTATAGAAAGCGCAAAGCATAGAACGGTCTGCTGAATAGAACCGATCTGTAAAAATCAATCAGTGACAGCTTAAGAAACCCAGGCCGTGGTGATACGTCAAGATATGTCCGCTCAGGCGTCCCAGCTGACTCACGCTGACGTTTTACCCGTACAAAGCATAACAAATATATTCAGTAATATCCGTATTTTACCGACACCTTTAAATCTTCATTCTTCCCAGGATGTATAGACGATTGGAATAAACATGAGTAAGATGTCGTAAATGCCCCTACGATAACGAGCTTCATAAGCACTATGGCACCATTAAAACTGTAATAGCAAGGTGTCACACAGTTTCTAACTGGTGTGACACGTGGCTGACGAAAATAAATACACATAAAACAAAAGCGATGACCTTCACCTCAAAACGACATCTCACACCCCCCCACGTACTTCATTGGTAGTGACGCCGTTAAAAATGTCACATCCTTTAAATATCTTAGCGTTCATCTCCCATCGGAGTTAACGTAGAACCTTCACATTGAACACAATGCTAACAAGGCGTCGCGAACTCTTGGCTTTCTCAAACGAACGCTGTTCCAAGCAAACTCTGATACAAAACTTCTTGCCTACACTGCCCTTGTCAGATCTCAACTTGAGTGTGCATTAGTCATTTGGCACCTTCATCAAACATATCTGGCAGATAAGATTGAATCTATTCAAAACAAAACTGCTAGATTTATAACTTGCGACTACTTCCGATTAACAAGTGTAAGCAGTTTAAAACTTCGAGTTAACTTGTCACCTCTTCATACAAGAAGGCACCTCGCACGCTTATTGTTTATTCATAACGTTTTTTACAGTCCCTCGCCTCTTAGGGACTCTTTCCTACCACCGGCTCACAGTATATCGTCTTGCTTAGATCACCCTTTCAAAATTAAGCCCATATTTGCACGAACCAAATATTTAAAAACTTTCCACTACTCCTTGCTATATTGGAGTAGAACAGCCTCTCCAGAGAAATTGCCTCCATCACTGACCATCAGTCTTTTGTCTCCGCTTTAAGCTGCTTTTGTTTTGCGCCATCTGTTTTATATCTTATGTTTGAAGGCCAAAATTGCGCCAAATGCTTTGTACCTTCAGTTTATGCTTTTAGAGCGCAGCTCTTAGGTGCCCGTTTCCGGCTTGAGTGGCGTCGGCGTCGCCGTCAGCGTAACCGCGACCCCCCCCCCCCCCCCCCTCCCCTCGAGGACCTCCGGAGGACCTCGGGTTCCTTCGAGAGGACCTCGGGAGGACGTCGGGTACCTTCGGTGACCTCGGGGAGGGGGCGCGGTCACGTGACCCCCCCAAGGACACATGACCCCCCCCCCCCCCACCCGAGGTCACATGACTCCCCCCCCCCCCTAGTACCATTCCCTACTCCTCAAGAGCTGCGCTCTAATTCGGCGTTACAGGGAGTTGTAAACGTTTTTTTACCTTTATTTTTTTTTATCTTTGTCTCTTTTTGTTGCCACTTGGCTTAGTTGTAAAAAAATCTTTGTATCCCGTTCCCCTTATGTAAGGCCCGAATAGGCTTTTAGGGCTAAAACAAATAAATAAATAAAATTAAACGTAGAAACACTAAATTAGCTTGTTCGCTCTCATTGGCACGTTGATGACAGAAGTCCAACGTGCAAGTAATGGAGAACGATAAAATAAATGGAAGAATAATGATTACCTTTGAGTAGGTAAACTTCGGGAACTCGGTCGAGCAGTCAATGGGCGGCAGCTTCTCTATCATTGCCGACACAGAAGCGTCATAAGGGTCCACATTGGGAATCTGGCATTGCTTCGTGTTCACGATGTACCTGGCATATGCCATTGTGGGGTCATCCGTCGTTGTTGGTGACGTTGATGTTGACTCCTCCGTCTTAGCTGACGCCTGAGCCGAGGCTGCCGCCATCTTTCCGCTTCGTTGAATTGGTCGACCTTTTCCAACACTCTCTCCAAGACGCTGTGGCCATTGCGCCTTGAAGATGTCCGGGTATGTGTTGAGCAGGAGCGCGATCGTGGAAAGAGCCCCGATTAATGCAATCAGCTGCACTGAAACATAATATAGGTTCCATTTAATTACAAACTATATTGTCACTCAAAGCATAAGTGTCACAGGGCGTGGCGAGTAACTAACATTTTTTATCACTCAGTAGCTACCGAGACTGTGGCATAGCCGATAACAACGCAGAAGAACGATTCCTTGAAGTAAGAAGCATAAACTTAATAAAGCAAACCCAGCGTTTTTTTTGTTTTTTTTTTTCAAATCTCAGTTATTTTAGACACATTATCAGAAGCAAAGACCAAGTATAAGTCTGTTCGGTAATCTTCTACCTGATGATAATGCAAATAATGCAAAGGTGCAAGCAAGCTGGACAAGAATAGCGATAATTATTCCTGGAGAAGGGGAACGAAAGAGACAGAGGACAAGCACAATTCTCCAAGCACAGCCAGGCGACTGGTGCAGGACCGAAAAAATCCGCCTGGTCATGGTATCGAACCAGTGCCAGGCCGTGCTCGACGAGTGATAACTTTAGTGCATTACTACGCTTCTCAGGCACTCAGAGTCTTTCTGAAAATTACTAATTTAGTGGTTCTCGATGACGCTCAGTAAGTTTTTAATAGAAATCATATGTCTATTTTCATTTATTAGAAAGTTAATAACGACTTTTAATTAATTAACCGACTTATCGCAGAGATCTGCCCCCTACATAATGTCCCCCTGGCGGTATAACTCACCTGCACGAACCGCATAACTGGAACTTGCACGGCTTTTTTAAAAACAAATTTGTAAATCTTAAAACACACAGACACACACACACACACACGAATCCCGGAGAAAAGCTCACCGGAGAAAAGCTTACTGCAAAACCGGCGGATGCGGAGAAAAGCTCACCGGCCATCAAGCGTACGCGGAGGAAAGCTCACCGATTTTTTTCTTCTTTTTCATAGGGGCTGTTGGATCATGCGTAACATGTATCAATTTATTATCATCAAAATTCGTCAGCTTTGTAAAGAAAGAAAGTGTCATTTTTTGTATTATTTGTTCAGCTTATTGGGTATATTGCACCCAAATTAATAATTGCAGGCGTGTGTTTTCTGTGGCGTATACTCTCTAGGGCAACGAAAGTCTAACTGAAAACTTTATGAACTTGAAGAACAGGAAAAAGTTCGAAAGCTTACTAATGTCTGCCTAAAACCCAAACCCGAAACTGTAAATGCCGAAAATCCGAAAGTGCATGCGCAACAACGCGGTGCCTGAAAATTTCTTTAAAGCTTTTGTTAACCTTTGAAAACAGGCTAAAACAGTCAGTAGGATATCGAGGCTTGTCTCTTTTACGGACATGCACGTTTTCTAGCCGTTCGTGCTGGTGTTTCCTCACGTTGCCTTTGCGTGATATAGTGCCCTGCTACGGTGAGCCACCCATGACCTTCAGAGCTGCACACTGGCACCTTTGTTCCCTGTGACCTATATAGGAACTAGACTTCTGTAAGGTAGTGATTCGGGCGAGTTGGTAGACGTTATACATGATGAAAACCGCTCAAACGACGACGACGGAGTGAAGACAACAAACGCGACAGGACGAAGCTGTTCTCGCAACTAAAGTTTTGTTAGTGAAATTAACAGAAAGAAAATAGCGTAGGCGACACTGATTAAATCAACAAACACCTACTTATATATTAGGCACAACACAATATTTGGAGCTGAAACTGGTCATACACCGCTATTCAGATTAGCTCGCAAAGAACAAACCTCTTTATCTGACAGCGCTACCGACGGCGCACTGACAGCTATCAATAAATTGTTGCCTTTTTTTTTTTTTTTACGGCAGTACGATGTTCTGATTTTATACGTGCGGCTTCATTAATATACAGAATGGATGATTACTAATTGTTAAGAAATTAGTAAATATTCCCAATGAACTTCAAGAATATTACAAAAAAAGTATATATTTTAAAAAAAAAGTGACGAATGCGAATGGTGTTAAATTGCCACGTTTCACGCAAAATCCGCTAAGTTAAAAAAAAAAAAAAAAAAAAAAAAACGGTGCCCTTTTTTCCGCATTTGCTCAAAGGCCAGTGAGCTTTTCTCCACATCTGCCGGTTTTGCGGTGAGCTTTTCTCCGGTGAGCTTATCTCCGGTGAGCTTTCCTCCGGTGACCTTTTCTCCACCGCCCCCCCCCCCCCCCCCTCCATATATATATATATATTTATGTCATCCCCTGACGAAGCCGAGCGTCTCGGCGAAACTGTCGTAATACATACAATAAACGCCTAGCATAGCAACTCCGCACACACACACATATATATATATGTGTCTGTGTGTGTGGGCGGTTTCATTTGGATTCAGGCAACGAGGCGCAGTCGTATTTCTTATTTTGTTTAAACTTTTTTTTATATTTTGTGGCGCATGTTCCAAGAAGAACAATCCTTTTTCTTTCAATGTCCTGACATGTTTATTTTCTGAGAAAACAAAATCTCAAAGAAGCGGGAAAGAACGAAGAGGTTTTGACGATTTTCGTATGTGGCGTTTTTGGATCACTCTCAATGTCAAAGTATTCGAAAGGGAGCGTCTATATTTTTTGTGTGATATATATGCAAGTAGGTAAGACGACATTATAACTACTCTTTATTATTCGTCGCCTCAATCTTTGTAAAATCCCCAACCATGCCTCCGCGAACAACTGTGACTATGTTTAGTACTGCTTTTAAAATAATACCACGTGTAGAACCTTTCATCGCCTTCCAAAATAAGCAATGTGTGTGCCTTTTTCATGTACTGGTGCTGAGCAATAAATTATGGAACGGAGGTTTTAATTTTTCGTTCAATTTCAGCACGTTGTATATAAAAAAAAAACATTTTTAATTTTTTTTTTCTCGCGTCGCGTTCTCTTCACACCCTTCTTTTACCCAGCATACATTCCGTTAGAGGTATTTGCACTGGTTTTGAGTTTTTAGCCTCTAAATATGCTAAAAAAAAGGGGCAAATGCCGATGGTGGGTTTTGACGATTTTCGTGTGTGGCGTTTTTGAACCACTCTCATTCTCAAAGTATTCAAAAGAGAGCTTCTATAGTTTTTTATCGATATATATATGCATGTCGATAAAACTACATTCCAACTATTATTTATTATTGGTCAATCTAATCTTTGTGAAAACCCCCAAACGTGCCTTTGCGAACAACTGTTACCTAAACTGCGGATTTTTGTTTTTGAGTCGACTATGTTTAGTATCGCTTTAAACTAATACCACGTCTAGGACCTTTCACCGCCTTCCAAATTAAGCGAAGGTTGTGCCTTTATCATGTACGAGTACTGAGAAATCAATTATGAAACATAGGTTTTCACCTTTCGTTCAATTTCAACACGCTGTATAAATAAAAAAAAAATATTTATTCATTTACTAATTTTTGCATCGCGTTCTATTTACACTTTTTTTTTAGCCAGAAAACATTCCGTTAGAGGCACCTCCCCCCCCCCCCCCCCCCCCCCCCCCTCCCGCTACGTTATCAAGTTTGCTCGCTCGCTTTTGTCCCTGAAATTACGCCGCAAAAATTGAGTTTTTTGGTCAGTGACGTTGCGTGCGAGTATACCTGGGGCGCCCACTCGTGCGAGTATACCTGGGGCGCCCACACCAATAAGCTTGTGTAAAGTGAATAAAATAAACTTTTGAAAGGAATATTGTTGCACGGTCTCTTTAAGGTCGAAACAGCTGCAGGAACGCAGCGTCTTTTGTATGGGATATTCCTACGCGCGGATACATTTCTGACGGGAGTTTCGACTTACGTTTCGCGGAGAACCTCCACTGTCCGTAGCCGCCGCATAGCGTCTGCTTTGTCGGTTTCATGCGAGACTCGCGCGCGGACCTTGTCGCGGCACAACGTGTTCGTCGGTGTGCGCGAACGTGCGAAACGTGGCTCCAGGCGACGTCCCCTCCGTCATTTGCGCGGGCGTCAGCGGTACCGAATCCGTCGTGGCGAAACTCAAACCCTCCGAGATACACGCGGTTCGAGTAAGCTCCTTCTACTTGGCCAGGAAGCTTCTGGGGCTCCTAATCAATTCTCGACGGATGTAAGACCGAAGAAAAAGAAAAAAAAAAAAAAAGTGGCAGCTTGTCTTTTTTTTTTACGTTATGAATTCCTTTAAATCGGGTGGGGCAACCCCGGAAGAAACTATAGGCACTTCCGACCCTGACGTTGGTCACAGGCTGAAGTGTCCGTAGTGCACAACCACGCGCGATTATGACGTCACACTGCCGATGTAGCGCTATTGTCGGCATGGCGTGCGCGCAGACGGCTCACTTCACGCGAACCTGGTTTCTGCGCACGCGCAATGTGTGGGCGAAAGACGGACTCGCTTGTAAACAGCGTGTGGGTCTATACACGTGTGCAAGTGCGGCCTCTGAGCGCCGCCATTTTGGTGCTGTTGAACGTCTGATAGTCAAGCATTTCTGATGCGTACCCACTGTTTCCAGACTGGCGCCCAAACCAAGCGTTTTCTATACGCGGGGGCCAGACTAGCTCTTGAAGCGCGGCTGCGTCCTCATTTTTTTCCGTCCACGTTCTTCGAAAGTCAATGGTAAGTACGGGAAACACTTCCCGGATAACGACGCCGTAGTTCAGGAGTTTCTCCGACCAAAATACTGCGGTCGGTTCGGCTGGACATTCTTGTTCAATCAGCGCGCAGAACACGGGTCTCAGTAGAATACTGACCCAGCACTCGCGATTAATCTGTGTCCCACACTGGCTTCCGATGGAGGACGCAGAAACTCCCGAACTATAGGCCTTATTACCTGGGAGGTGTTGGTATAGAGGCCTGGATCTCAACGAACTCATTATTCTCTCATTCACGTCCTCGCGTGGTTGGAAGGGGAGAGGGGGCAGGGGGATTACGGCTGTCACTCGCTAGCTGTGTCCAGCTTGTCATGTCAGCGAGCAAGTAAGGATTATCGTATTTTGTACCGTGATGTCTTGAGGTGAGCGAAATTCGGAGAAACGTGGATCTGGCACTATTACCCGAGGTGCGTAAAAGCTGCAGTCGAGGAACGTTCGCTCGATTTAACTGGGTACGCAGATGGCGAACCTATTCCATGCTGCATTAACAACGGACCTCCTGGTAACAACGTGGAACTTACGGCCGACATAAAGTTTTCCCCCAGCTTTCCTCCTACTCCTTTCTTCTCGCCTGCTTGCGCTCGAATCTCACAACTGCGTGAGACCTGAGACGATATAACCAAACTCAGTCATTTTGTTTGTTTATTTTATTTGACACAACTGTCAGGGAGGTTGGGACAAAAGGCGAAAACGAATCACCTGACTAGGTCCCCAACCCTCGTTACAGCACTCAGCAGCAGGGCACAGGAAATGAATCAAAAACAGCATAAATAAAAAATAAAACAATATCTGAGAAGATAAAAATATGACACTCAAAAAATGTACAATCTATTTTGATGTGAACTATACTAGGAATACACACTAGGCACATTGAAGTATACCGTAAGGTATTTTTTGAAAAGAAACACGGACGCTATTGTCTGGGCTAATTCGAATACACAATAATTTCTGTTAAGAAGATCGGGTATCTGGTAGGATATTTTTTGTGTACCGTAATTAGTTCTTATTTTAGGTTTTGAAAACTGCTGGTGTCTCAAATTGCTGGTGTCAAAAACAATCTTCCATAAATGCCACAAAAAAGAAGACAGGTTGCTTTCCGTTTTTCACAGATGAACTTAAGCGACATCCGAAGCACATGCACACTTTGCTGCATACAGACTACACACGGTCATGCTGCGCACTGCCCATGACATTATGTGACGCCATGTGACGTCGGGGTCTCGAGTGACGTGATAGGACCACGTGACGTCATATGTATCACGTGACGTGTTTTGTCACCATGCCTTTTAGCGGAGATGTTTTCCAGCCACGACCCGCACGAAACATACACTGAGAATCTCTGCGAAACTACCGCAATAACAGCGGTCGCTGTATAAAAAAAAAAAAAAAAAAAAAAAAAAAATTGTTGCCGTTTGGGATTTAAGGGGAGCGGGTTAAGGTGAGAAAGATTTTCAGACTAGCTGAAAAGCATGTTGTACCGGTCGGCCTTGAAGGAGGAATGAGCAGTGCCACTTCGCAATTGGTTTTCTATTGCATACATCCCGAACGACGACACTGGTACTTATTGGCCCCGGTGACAGTGAAGCGATCTAAGGTGGTCACATTCAGCCACTTCGTATCTGCGAGTGACTTCTTGATTTCCCAACGGGAGAGTAAAGGCGGGAGCAGAACGCTGCAAATCGTAAGCGCCGACGTCGGTGTTCCCGAAGAGTATAGAACGAGGACGAGAGCGACAGAAAAGTGGAGGAAAAAAGCAGACGAAAGCTATAGGTCTCTTCGTATTGCCGCAACGAGTTAAAGTTGTTCAAGTGCTTGCCAACTTTGTTTCCTTTTATACAATGCGCGACGCCAAAGATTTTTTCCAAAAGAAAAAAAAAATGGCTAGAAGACAAGTGTACTCCGTTTCACTTAAGTCTGACAGCAGTCAACACTACAAATATATGGATCCTGGACATAGCACGTAAATCATATTATTTCAAAATCCGCCAGCATCACTGGCTTACTTCGCCGACATCGCCTAATACTGGCACCAAATGTTAAACTGCTTTCGCATAAAATTTTGTTTGTTTCCCATTCGAATTATTGCCCTCTTGTCCGGGGCACTACAACTAAAACAAAACTACGCAAAATATTTTTATTGCAAGAAAGAGCATTAAGGCTCCTGTGCAACGTGCCTTTTGATTTTTACAGATAATGTATCTTTAAAAGACTGAGGTTAATGAAAATACACGATCATTACAAATACAGTTTTGGCAAAAAAAAAAAAAAAAGACTCGAGACAAATAGTTTTTTTTTTTTTTTTTTCCACCATTCGTTAGCCTCCCTCAGAACAAAACCATTGACTAAACGTACAGTTTATGGGTCGGAAATGATCGTAAAAAAATTTTGCTCTCATTATTAAACACATTTATGCAGACCAATATTGATATACAATCCATCAGCTCACGGAAGAATCCTATGAACTACTTTCCGTCAAGATAATTACCGTTTACCACTTTATTCTTCCGCTAACCCCGAAGCGGAGTGATCTTATATAAATATTTCAGTCTGTGTGGCCTTCCACCGTTGCATTTCTGTTTGTGAGTTACGCCCACTCACAACCTTCTTATTGTTGATATTTTCGGTGTTTTGTCCCCTTTCTTATTCTGTTTTTGTGACCAACAAACGACCCTGCTTTATATATTCTGCCACCACTGTGAGCCTGTCTACGGGGCTGGGGACCAGTCAAGCTGCTTGTACAGCATTTTTAAAGCGCAGCTCTTAGGCGCCCGTTTCTGGCTTGAGCGGCGTCGGCGCCGGCGTCAGCGTAACCGCGCGGTGCATTAGGGGACCTTTCCCATAATGCACCGCGCGGTGGGAAACGTCCCCTAATGCACCGCGGTGACGCGCGCGTTGCATTATGGTGCGTTTTCCATAATGTACCGCGCAGGCGAGAGGAGGAAGGAGTAGGGGGGAGGGGAGAGGAGGATGGACGAGGAGGCAGGAGGAGGGAGGAGGAGGAGGAGGGGGTTGGAGGCGAAGAACACCGCGGAGGGGTAGATGAGGAGGAAGGAGGAGAGGGTCCGGATGAGGAGGAGGGGCATACCGTCCCCTCCGTACCCTCTTTTCCTCCTCCTCAAAAGCTGCGCTCTAATTCGGCAGTACAGGGAGTTGTAAACGTCTTTAATTTTTTTTTCCAGACCCCCACCATATGTGTATGGTGATTCAACTGTTATGATTATTATTATTATAATCGAGCAGCGCCAAAATTACGTCGTCCCGGCGCTCGCTGTCTTTGTAGGTTTGCTATCGCCGGATAATCTAATAAAACAAACAAACAAACAAACAAACAAAAACAAAAAAAACGCCGGATTGCGGCCCATTTCCAGTGTGGGGTGGGTTTAGTGGGTGATTCCAAACGCACAAAGACATCGAGCGCCGCGACGATGCAATTTTGGAGCTGCTCATTGATTGGCTCCACCAATTCGCAGCGGCGTCGACTGCGATCGAACTTAAAGTGAGAAGGATCGCAGATATATCACCTTGCGAGTGATATATATTGCTTAATAATGTTTCGTCTTTAATACGGGCCCATTGGGACCACCGATATTCCCTTATATGCACTGCCGTTCCGTGAATTTTTTTTTCCTGTAAATTATTATACGAATTCACTATTTCTCGCACAGAAATCCGTTTCGAAGGCCCCTCGCATCGCGCACCTTTGAAACCATAAGAGAACTCTGGGAGGTGCGAACATTGTCCTCTCAACAAGTTTGAGCGTGCACTTGCAGCGTGCACGAGTTGTGGACTGAACGCGCACTCGTGTTTCGCCTTCCGTCGGTGAGCAATGCGGTTCGATACGTCGGATATATGGTTGCTTCAACGTCCCGTTGTCCTGGCGGTATTGCGTGCCAATAAAAGTATATATCAGTTGTTTATTCGGTTCAACGAACTTTTCTTGTATGACGGTGCCGTGCGAGCAGGTGAAGCACACTGGATATGGTCAGCAAAATTTTACTTAAAAAAAAAAAAGAAAAAGCGGGAAACTTTTACGGGTAACCTTTTTTTTTTTTTTTTTTTGAAAGAAGCTGATTTCGATCTGGACTCAACTGCGAAGTAATATATGCTCGCATTTCATTCTGGTAAACAAGTTTTTATTTAGATTTTTTTCTTCTCGTTGTCTTTTAGAACGGGCGAACACTTGATGACTAGACTCTTACAAAGTTACAAACCCCCTTTTTTTTTTTTTGAATGATGAATAATTTG